TCAGCTTCAGGTAGCAGGCACGCAACCAACTTCACACAAAGCATCCTTCTTATCGCCTCATCACTTAACTAAGTTTCAGGTAGTATGATTGACGGACTAGGCTTCCTGTTGGCTCCTCTGTCCTGAGGATGCCTGTAGGATGTGTCCTGCCAATAACTCAGGGGTTAGCATTGGACAGCCAAAACCGGCTGTTCCCTTGGTAGATGTTATTCCAAGGCAAAAAGAGGACTTAACCAGCGAGGTGCAGTAAGGAATTCGCTTAACTGGTGTCTGTCTTTGTAACTAGTGAGGTGGGCCAAGAGCAGCGGCTTATAGACTGGGTAATCTATTTACATTGGGGGGTGAAGTTTCGGCGTTTATGCCTAAGGTATGTTGCGCCGCCATTAGACATCCTTGTCTGACCAACAAAAAAAAAAAAAATTGGCGGCCCGGGGATAGAGATTGAGAATCGAATCCGAGCGCCGTAGTCCTGCTGAAAGGCGGGCGACCGTGCGAATGGGACAGACTGGTCCGAAGCGACAGCAGAAAAGAGGAGGAAAGGGCACCCTTTCGGCAGCCATGCGCAAATGCAGTAGAGGAGTACGTTTGCCGCAGGATCGAAGGGGTTCTTTGCGTCGCTCCTGGCATGGTTTAGCCAGAAGAGTCCTTTTTTTGCAAGGTGAGGCGTTCCTTAACAACCGGGAAGGGCTGGTCGAAAATCGACTTTAGCGTATCAGGTCGACCCTGTCTTGGGAGATGACGTCGCTCCAAAAGATCCTCAGTCTCTTTTATAGCTTCCCGTATGATGTCTTCGTCGAAGCCATCTCTTTCTTCGCTCTCGCCATCCATGCCCTGTTCGCCTCCATAATGTAAGAGGACCCAGCATTCCTCCGCAAAGGCTGGCGCTGAGGGCGCAAGTAGAGAGAGTAAGACGCAAGCGGAGTAGTAATGCATATCGCAGGACACAAGGTCGGCTTCGCCGTAGTCCGAGATAGCCTTCGTTAGCCGTACAAGCCGTGTTCTTATAGCTGGAAGGCTATTCCGGCGAGTGATCGGTGTTGTATAAGCATGGATTGCTTTTTGAGTGGTGAACCAAAGATGATATTCGTTCCAGTCTGCCGAAGGGCTTGGTCTTTCGGGTTCTTCTGGAGGAACTTGGACCCATTGGAAATGCTCGTTGTTGATATAATCAAGCCAACTGCCGAGGTTAGGCTCATACAGAGCCTCCGGGACGTTGGGGCAAGCTGGGCAACTTTGGGTACTTATGTAGGAGCCGTGGGCCGATAAAACAGCTTCCCAGACCGACCCGAGCCAATTCCGAGTCCGTTCAAGTTCTTCTTTGTAGATCTCATCGCCTTCAAATGCCGGGTTGCGGAACACCAGGAAGGTTCGGACAATATCTGCGCCGAAGCTCTGGATATATGCATCGCGTTCGGTGGATTTGGACAGCGAAAGCTCGAGAACTGAATCCAACACTGCGCGTTTCCTGTCCGTGAAGCGGGCACCTGCTCTGCCGTAATGCCACTGCAAGGTCTCCAGAATCGTCGTCGGTTTACGAAGATGTGGGAGATAGAATGGCGACAATAGAGGTGGATTGTGACAGACAGATGCGTCTTGCGGAATACGATCCTCTCGATTGTCCCACTTCGCCTGCCACTTCGCTTCGATCGTGGGAAAGTCGATTGTTGGGTTCTGGCCCCTCTTGCATGTCTGGGAAGAGAATGGGCGTGTCTGAGTGACTGACGGTGCTGTGCCCAACAGAGACCGCCTTAGGCCGGACAGATAACAAAGATACTGAGGCATCGTATAGGCTGTTGGGTGATCTGTTTGTGTGACGACGACAACAACAACAACAGGTGGAAGAACCTGGTGTTACGAGTGATGGGCTTAAGTGTAGGTAAACTAGGGGTCTGGGGGTGGGGGGGTGAGTGTTGTTGTATTGAGAGGTGTTGAGTGAGTTGGTTGAAGTTGAAGTTTGTGAAAGAGGTAGAAGATGGGCGCAATGGCTGCTTAGTAGCCGTTGTGGGCGACGAACGCGGGCGAGAAATCAAACGTAGGCGGGGCGGTCTGCGAATGCGGGAGGCCGACGACCTCGTTTGCAACACTTGGTGATAATGATGCCACGAAGAGGAGGCTGTGGTGGGCAAGTGGGCAAACAGGCCTGTCTGGAGCTCTATTCTCTCCCAGCCAATGGGAACCGAGGCCCATTTCACACCAGCAGTGCCTTCAAGGTCTTGGGTCAACAACAACAAACGGCACGCGTACCAAGAACCAACCGTGATGTGTTTCAGTCTGAATGGCAACCAGCCTGTCAGCGGACAACGGAGACGAAGGCCCGCCGCCCTCGCAGTCTGCATAAAGATGTAATTGTCATTATGGTTCTCTCTTCTCGTTACATGCTTTAAGGGATATCCTAGGACTAGCTTGTTGTCCCAAGACGAGCAGGGTCCTAGGAGCACAGAATCCTAGGAATAAACATGTCCTAAGACAACTAGTGAGTCCTAGGACTGACTGCGTCCTGGAAACAAGATGTCCTAGGACTGGCGCTGTTGTAGAACAGCTAGTTAGTCATAGGACGCTCACGGGTCCTGGGACGAAGTAGTCCTGGGAGATTTCGCTTCTGAATATCCTATTTCTACGGCCTGTTAAATCTTGGGACAGCTCAAGGAGGTATCAACTCTAGAGAACTCTTAGAGTCTATTAGAACAATAACTGTGTAGTAGTTGGTCCTGCCTCATACATTCACACCTTCGTGTGGTCTACATTGGTTGCCAACCTTCGTAGTTGCCCATGGACGCTGTTGGCCGTCAGCGCCCTTGCGCGATCAATCCTTGTACCTCAGCCTGTATCCTATGGCCAAGTTCTCTAGCTGGCTGATAGTGCTGCCTGCATGTCCCACTGGGCCTTACACGGAACCTCTTAGTCTGACCGAAAATTCTCTTTGTGCCGTATAATACCCCAGAGCTTTTGGAAGTTGCTGGCACCAGAGACAGCAGCCTCCTCTGCCCCTTGTGTAAGCCGAATACAAAGCCGAACAAAATGAGATGGATAACTGAGCCAGATCCGCTCTCCAACCAACTCTATAACAGAATTATCAACTCGTCCAAAGTTGTTGCTTAAATAGTTAGCTATAATAATATCTTGCTTTAAGGAGTTAAAACCTACATAATGGTCTCCGTATATGGTGAACAAAGGAGAAGGAGGAGTGGTGAGGGCTTCGAGAATAGTATCCAGCGTTTGCCAATCCGCCGGCGCTCTAGTATCGTGCATCGTTGTAACTTGCCCTCCAGAGCATTCTGGTAAATGGTGAGCGATACTATTGTCGCTGATACCTCGCTTCCGACCATATATCGCATACGCTCTCTCCTTTCTAATTGTTTCTCTCAAGGTATTGAAGAGTCGTATTAACTGTATATATGCAAGCCACTGAGAGACGCCATGTGTTGTGGAGATGACCTTTTCGACAGCTTGGAATGCGAGAGTGTAGTGTGAATCTCGGCTTGAAGTCTCGAGGGGAAATGTAGTTTGAGAAAGTAAGGATACCCAGTTATCCCGGATGCTGGCACAGTCCAAAGCGAAAAGCTCTATTGTCATATGTTGAGCGAGCTCATGTGCAAGTCGTTGTGCTCTGATTACCCTCTCATCTTTAACCTGATCAGTGTCGATATCCATCTTCTAGGAAAGAGGAAGGCCGGGTTTATTCCTGGTGCTCGATTATAGAACTTTCACATTATTAGCACGGCTTATAAAGAAGTGGAACCCGCTAATGGTCATAAGGGTCGACTGATCCACAAGGCGGTATTTCGGCGCTGTTGTATAGGCCGCCACATGGAATGATGACTCGTTGAAACGGGCGGCGGCACTTCTACGGCGGCCGATGGCATAGCGACCGCTGGTATAGTGAGATTCCGGGTTCCCCGTGGCACGGTGATACGTCGCCTACATTCCGGGTTCACGGATCACTGACCGCCAGCCTGGGTTGGCGCCACAATCTCGGATCGGCAGATAATCCAAAGGATTCATTAAAGCCCTTCTCCCATCGTCTTTTAAAGCTGGGCACTAATATACGACCCTATAGTTATCGAGACGAACGTACCGCAATGGACCTAGTCCTCGATTTAATATGTTCTCCCGTATCTTCAATGACAACATCACTCCAACGAATCCATCTCGGGGAGAACAGGCCGCCTCTGAGAGGCAATAAAAGACGTTCGGATTCCTACAAAGGAGCGGAAGCTACAACGAGAAGACGAAAGCGAAAGCCGGGGCTACACATTCCACGCCAGAATCCAGAGCGGCGACTCCATGCTAAGTACAGAACGCTCGAGATTGTTCCTGACCTTGTCTGGCACGGCGTAATTACCGTTTTCGCCAGCAGCGGAGTCTCGAGTCGACATTACGAACGCGACGTTTACCAAGGAACCGCGGCAATGCCTCGAGGAACGAAAGGTTCTCTTCGGCGCCCTCCTTCGTAAACTCAGACCACCAGACGATCCATGCGAAATGTGCCTTGAGAAACGAAAGCCTTCTTTTTCCCCACCCTCTCTCACCCTACAGCCTTAATTCACAGGTTATAACGCCACAAATGCCCCCTGTCCATACGCGCCACACTCATCTCCCGCCTCTCAATGATACGCGCCTCAACTCAGCCACGGACGCCACACTTTCAGGCCTCAACCTAAGCCGAATCGCCGAACTGTAAGGCTCGCTCCGAAGGTTTTCGAGGGCCCGCGAGGGCCCGATCTCCTGTTTTTGCTCCCACAACCGAAGCCCCAAAGGCATCCACTAGTCATTTGCTCTACCAACAAACCTAACGCTGGTATCCCCCAATTTTACCAACGACAGGTACTACCAGAGAATGAACCCAAAAAAGAACTTGAAGAGCACGACGGGGGAGGGCACGCCTACAGGTGCTGACGAAATAGAGGATGCTTGCTTCGATAAATCGTAAGTTATTATAGAGCAACAATAATTGGGAAGCTCAAACTGACAAGTGTCCTGCCCAAGTCCCTTCAGTTCGGCGCCTATGGTTGATCTCCAGTTCAAACAGGGCGACTACCTCAGCGTCCACCGGGCCCTCCTTCAACGAAATCCGAAGCTAGCCCTTCTTGACACTTCCCAGTCTCCCCCCCTAAAGCACATCTCGCGGAGTGCAGGCCACGTTCTCGTCCACTACCTCTACACTGACACCTACCACACGCTGAAGTGGATAGGTCCTACAACTGGTCGCGAGGAGACGATTGCCAAGCTGAAGACGGGCTTCGAGGTCTACGCCACCGCACGCAAGTATGAACTCGATGGCCTAGAGGAGCTAGCCAAAGAGCAGATCTCCCTCCTCAGCAAGGGGGCAGATGCCCTTACAATCGTTGACGTCGTTAATGAGGCGTACCCCTCGTCGACCGACGAGGACACCTGGTTTCCAACTTACATGAAGGCGATTATCAAGACCGCATTCGAGGACTCTGCAGCACAGCTAAAGCCCGAGATACATATATCATCCGAAAATGAATTCAAAGACGATATCCCCACTGCGAAGACCCTCCTCAGAGGCGCCTTAGAGGTCTATCGCGAGATGGTCAAGGACGCCTCCATCACAACCGACCCCTCCCAGCTAGAGGATGATGAATGTGAGAGATGCGCAACGACTAAGAAGAATAAGAAGGACAAGAAGAAAATCTCGGCAGTCGTAGGAGAGCCTAAGGTAGAGGAGTCTGTAAACCGGGCCGAGCCCAGCCTAGACACTGTCGATAACGACTGGGCCGCAATCAGCACCAAGAGGAAGGAGAAGGGTACTGTCGCCAAGGAACCCAACATCGAGGAGCTGCCTGCCAGACCCAAACCGATGCCCGAGCCAGAAAAAGAGGAAGGTACGGCCACTGGTAACACTTCCGGTGGTGGCCCCTTCAGTGGCGGCCTTTTCAGTGGCGGCAGCACGACAAGGACGGCATTTGGTGCCACGAATAATGCGGCCGTTGGCGACCCCCCCGGCACAGCTGGCGTTGCGTTCACTCCGACTACCGAGAAGGACGCCCTCTACTCGAAGCAAACCCAGTCCTTCCGAAACATCCTGTTCATGGGCGCATACAAAAGGTGGTCCAGTGAGGAACTCAGATTGGCCGACTACAACCAGGGCCGCAAGATAAGCGGAACTGCCAATTGCCCAAGATGATTCACAATTTCTGTTCTATGACACCGCGACCGATCCCTTCGTCAGCCAGTTCTCCAGGACCTCTGCGACCTCACTTCTGCCATTCTCCCTAGCAATCTCAAGCGCCGTTTTGAACATTGGGCTTCTAGGCTCGGTGTTGGCTCCTGCATATAGAAGCATTTCAACGAATAAAACCTCTATCTATTATCCCCTTTCTTAATAAAGAAGATTAATACTATAGCTATTAATAGGCTAGTTTCTAGTTTCCCAACCTGACAAGCGACCATCAAGGGAGTCCAGCCGACCTTGTATACCCGCTCTATACGTTCTTGTAGTTTAAGAGACGCAGCGGACTCATCTGCACCCGGACTCTCAAAGCTGGCTTCCTGCTCAGGCGCTTTCGACCAGTTTGAGTCAGGTGAGCATCCAGCGTCAAGGAGGTGCCGGACAACCTTTGGTGCTCCTGCAGCAGAGGCCAAAAGCATGACGGACGCATCTCGAGCCGATATCTCCTCAAAGGAAGCACCAGCGTCCAAGAGAAGATTGACTGCCTCAAGATCTCCTCCGTAAGCGGCATGCATCAGGAGTGCCCAGTCAGATTGAGCGCGGATCTCCGGGTCGGCGCCTGCTTCCAGCAGCAGCTGCATGATGATTTTGGAGCCATTATTTGCCGCCTCAGCGAGGGCAGTCCACCGGTCTGGCGATAGATGGTTGACATCTGCACCATGCTCGATCAAGTATTTAACTGCAGCCATGTCCATCCTCTTGGAAGCGAGCATCAACGGCGTCCAACCGTGCTTGGATGTTGTGTTGATGTTTGCACCCCTGTCGAGCAATAAATCCATCACGTCAAAATGGCTTTGTGACGAGGCAAGGAGGAGCGGAGAGCTCCCACTTCCGGCGCCCTCCTCGATATCGCAGAGAGAAGGGCCTGAGCCGTCCCCAAGAAGCCTACCCACAGACTCGACGTCCCCATCAAAGGCAGCGCGACCAAGTGGCCCAAGATTACTCGCGTTGATTCTGGGTGAGGAACCCGAAGCACCAGGTTCGCCGATAGTGACCCCGAGGTTTTCGCCTGCATATTCGCGCTCGTTCGATATGACCTTTTTGAAGACCTGAGAGATGGAAGGGTCAGCTCCCTTGGCCAAAAGCTTTTCAGCGATCGTGAAGTAGCCGGCATCAGTCGCCTTATCAAGGGCTGTTCCATCATCGACTCCGCCCACCAGATTTGGGTCCGCGCCGGAATCGAGAAGGAGGTCTACCACTCGCTCTAACCCTTGAGAGGCTGAGACCATGAGCAGCGTGCTCCCTGAATCTAGCCGTGTGTTCATCAGAGTGATGAGTTGCTGTTTAGAGGTTGCGTCTATCAACTGCTGACTGAGATATTCAGCCGTTGTGACCATGTCATGTCTGACAAGGTATGCCAGCTGTCTAGTAATAAAGCTTGCATTTTGCAAACGCTCCGGTTGTCTTTGCAACTCGGCAGCCAGGGTTTCCGGGTCGTGAAGCAAGGGGGCCTGATCCTCACTCTCGCCATGGCCTTGCGCCATGTTCCTCAACTGGAGTGTCTCTGGGTTCGCGCCATTCCGTACAGCCTCGGTTCTGTGCTTGACGATGTCGCCATGGTCCTGTCATATCGTCAGCCTGGCCTGGGAAATATATGTACATGTATGCAACGGGTCTTACAGTTAGCCAGTGACGGTACCAATTCCGGCCTCGCTTCGTCTTCTTCAAGGTCTTCCACTCATTGCAGACGTCGCAGAATCCTTGCCAGGTGCCAGGTTGTTGGTGAAGTGGGCGTATTGTGGATGGTTGGGGAAGGGGGACCCCTGAATCGGGTACACCGTGAAAGTAGGTCAGGTGGAACCGATAACTGCCATCCGGGATGTTAACCCAGTGTGATACTGGGCAGCGAGCGCAAAACCCCTCTTTCTTCTCCCCAAGGCCACGGGCCCAACCTGGGGTGTGAAGGTCGCCGCCGTAGATAGGCTCTTGCCGGACAGGAAGGTAGTCTGGGTCCTCTGAGTCGAACGCCTCAAGGGGCGAAGTCCTGCGGCGGTTGCCACCTCATGGCAAGGTCCGGAGAGACTGGAAGCTTTGAAGGGTCGACAGGTCGTTGTATCTCGGCGAGCTCGCATAGCTTTTGGATCAGATCCGGTTCGGATACCTCTTGGATCAACTGGTTGTCATCTTCGTCCGAGTCGCTCTCTGCTTCCCGGTCTCCCCCAATGGATTTTCCATCATCTTCTTCGATAAGGTCCGAATTCGGAAGGACAAGCAAGGCTATTTACTCAAGGTGGCGGGCGAGGTGTCGTCCAAACTTGTCGGCCGAAACATTGCTGATATCGTGGTCCGAGTAACCGCGTTGGCGCAGAATGAGCGCGTAATCGCATAGGGGGCATTCGGAGGCGTTGAACTTGGTAGCTGGTCTGCCAAAACGATAGGAAATGTCGTTGACCTGACCTTCATCTACTTGATCTCTATGGTCAGTTCGAAGATGATCCTTCATGGCCGCCAAGCTCGGTAATGCCGAGGTGCATATCCCACAAGCCCATGATTTTCGATGGGCTTGCATCTCGTGGGCCCACCATTTGGTCCGAGATTCGAAGAACATTTCGTCACAGCCGCCATCAAGACAAGTGTATGAAGACAAGTCTGCATGAACATGCCTCCTACGGTTTCCGCGATTAGTATTTGAACTGCACCGCAGTCTCCGGGTTTCGAATAGGAGAAGGGATTACGTACTGCCAGGCATATCTACCTGAAATCTCTATGACGTTGCAGCAGTAGCGGCAAGCGTATGGCTGACCCAAGACGAGGTCGTGAGGTGGTTCTGGGATCAACAGCTTCTGTTCCTCTACTGTTGCCCCTGAGGACCGCCCAAATAGCGTGTTCGCAGGGCCAACAGACGGGGTGACGACATTCTCAGCCGTGATTCGAGATCTGAAAGTGCTGGCTCTTGTGCCACTCATGACGCTTGGTGCCAGGTTCGATTCTGACGGCTGCAGATCTGCTGAGAATAGTGCAATGGACTCAGTTTCGTCATCGGCACCGGTAGCTCTGCGATTTCCCGCCAGATAACTGGGCAACGGCAGATCTGCACCGGTAGACGCTGATAAATCCACCGAGAGCTTCTCCCTGTGTTGACGGCGGTACCACAGTCACTGGCGTCTCTGAGCGTTCGCCTTCCCGAGTCTGGTGGCCAAGGCGGTGTTGTGCGTGATGTCCAAGTGAGGGAAGAAGTCTTTGACATGATTGATATCATTGCTGACGTCGTAGCGAGTGGCCCTGGATGACTTCTGGAACTTGTTACATCGTGAAGACTGGTGAATTTGAATAGAAAGGCGAAGTAAGCTGGTGACCGACTCGTTGATGGAAAGGCAGAGGTCTCGAGACTCTGTGAGAGTTTCGGTTAGGTCTTCGCCGCCCCGCTCGTCGCTTTGTCCCGTCTCAGGCTTCAAAATGCCGCCTTCGCTATCCTCGTCATCACTCCATAGGTCGTCATCGCCAAACTCGCCACGTAACATTTGCAACGAGCCTCTGGTCCAAGTGGATTGTGGTCGCTTGCCATCAATGATATCCCGCACTAAAAAAGATGAGCAATGTATCTGCACAATAATTCGGGCAGTCGATAGCTTTAAACTTACAGTCGGATGTGAAGACATCAAGCTGCTTCAAGAGACGAATGACCTCCCGTGCGAGGTAGTGATTCGACAGACGCGCGTCGAGCGACGCCTCGCCCTTTTGGAAGACGCCCAAACTTCCCGTCTAGATGTTGAAACGATCCAGGCACTCCACCAAGTATTTTGGATCGGCCTCCACTTCGGTCGATATTTTCCCCAGATCGACTTTGGTCGTTATCTCGCTGATGAGGTCTCGAAGGTGACGTCTATTCTTCGAGGCTTCCACCATAATGGGCGCCGCGCTGGAGCTCATCTTGAGGGGAGTTTTTTAATCGCTGATACTCTTCTACGTAAGGGGTGCGAGAACCTCAAGTGATAGGAAGCTTGGAAATAGAGTCACGGCCGTGTGAGTGCGCGACGTCCTCAACTCCCAACCGTCATTGGGGAGAAAACCCCGCGATCGCACCCGAAATCAGGTGATTGCGTGCATCGCGGTGGCATGGGCGCTACTGGCAAGAACATTGAGGTGTGAGGTAGGTCAGGGAGGTACCGTAGGTACACGGCAGCACAGTGCGTAATTTGATGCAATTTTGCATGTCGTGCGACCGCCTCCAACGGCACGGGCGCGTTCCTGGGCCAACCAAATGGGTTGTATCTGTGACGATATGCGAGACGAGAACGCCCAGTGCCCGGCTCGTCGTGTCCTGGTTATTTGGAGGCAACCGCCTCCTTCTTGGCCCCTAACATCAGGCTCTGAAGTTCCTGCACTTCCCTCCGTCCCTCCGTTGTCATTGATGGTGTGTAGCTTCCCTCGCTCTTTCCTGGTGTGCTCGCCGTTGCATACAATAACCCTCAGCAACTGCGGCCACACATTGACCTTGGAGGGAGTGAACACAAATCCATCGCTTTCCATCGCCATCACTGGGCGCCTTTGCCGCGCTCCATCTTGTCAGTATGTCTGGATTCGAGATTGCAGGCGTGGCTTTGGCCGTTTTCCCCCTTGTCATAAAGATGCTTGAGCGTTACCAAGAAGGCTACGACACGCTTCGGGACCTCACTAGTTTCCGCCGCGAATTCACCTACCTTGTCAATGAACTCAATCGCCAGCAGATTATTTTTCGTTAGCAAGTTGAAAGGACCCTTGCCTCTGTTGTTGATTCCGAGTATGAACTCAAAGAGATGATGGAGAACCCTACAGGCGATGCATGGAAGCAAACGGACCTAATGGAGAGACTCAAGACCACACTGTCCGGCGTGAGGGAGTTTGAGAGCTACGAATCGTCCATGTTGGACATCTACAACAACCTTTCCAGTTTGGCCAAACGCTTTGAGGCGATTGACTCAACTGTTAGAGACCACTCCAGCTTGCCATGGCCTTGTTATACTGACTGACAGGCTGCTCTAGGATGATTCTGCCGTCGCCAACCAAACTTCCCAGATGGGCCATCGAATCCAGAAGCAGTTGCGGAAAGTTTACTTTACAATCCGCATGAAGAAATGGCGGGACCAAATTCTCGACCTTGGTCGGCAAATCGACCGAGTGGGAAAGATGTTCGGAGGCTCTGAGGGCCTTGAGCCTGCCAGACAGTCTCGTCGACCAACCACCAGCCTGGCCTTTGAACAGACGCGCGAGCAAGCGTCAAGTCTCCACCGCGCCATTATCAGGGGCTTTTCCTGCGATTGCAACGTTCCGCACTCCTTCAAGCTCGTCATGGCGAAGCGAGCCAAACCGGCTCCCCCTATCCGAACCCTGCGGGTTTCCTTTCCTGCGTGTGGTCGCTCGTGGGCTACACTCAAAACGGTGTTGCAAGAGACGGATGCCTGGTACAGCTTCGATACGGCCATGGTTCCTGTTCGGAGCTTGGAAAGTATGGCTAGCCCGACTTTCCTGGAACCAAATTGCAAAGAAACTCAAAGCATCATCACGCAATCATCGTGGGACAGCGGGAGCCCACTGTTTTCCGCTGCGTCGGTGTCAACATGCCAAACATCTATCACTTCGCCGAAGCTCAATTCCCAGGTTTCCCAAGGCCCGTTGACTAGTGCCCCGACTACCTATTCTCGAGATCTCAAATCCTCGCTCGCTGGTGCACTGCATCCCATCGACGACCTTTGCCAGCTCATCAAAAGGCCGCGCAAAGATATATTTGTTGGATACCTGAATGACGGTTCTGGCTCTCTTCACATCATAAACGCGAACCCGGAATTCTCCTTCACCTTTGCTGAAATTGATCACGTCGTCAGCCTCAAGACCATCCTCTCCCCAAAGGCCGCGTCTGTGGCCGAGGGGGCAAAGAGCTTGCCTACCTTGACCCGCCGCCAGCGAATGTCTATTGCTCTCACGCTAGCGTATGCGCTGCTAGAGCTTCATTCTACCCCTTGGCTACCTGGGTATCTGAGCAAACTGGACATCTATTTCTTCCAGCGGAAGAATGGCGAAATAATGGCCGAAAATCCCTTCTTACTATGCAATCAGCACTCACTACCTGGTCAAAATCAGGCAGCGGTGCGGGAAGAGAGCCGTGTTGACCCCCCCCAACTCCCTGCTATACCTGGGGATTATCATCATGGAGTTGTGGTTCGGAGTGACAATGGAGTCTCGCTCATTCTATGCGGAACATTGCGACAACCAGGGGAACGAGAAAATGTTCACCAACTTCACCGCAGCTCTTGTGTGGCAGAAAGAAACGATAGACGAGGCTGGCGTCACCTTGCACGACATCACAAATCGGTGCATTTGTGGAAATTTTGGACATTTGGTCATGGACTTGAACGACATCAGGTGTATAGGAGCAGTGCATAACCAGGTTGTAAAGCCACTTGAGACGATGATGAGATACATCTGGCCTGTGAAGTAGGGTTTGAGAATGGTGAATGTTGAAGGTATGTTTTGATTTTGGCTGAACACGTTGGAGAATCTTGTGTTTACAACACCAGACTCTGGCTTTTCTTATAGCAGTAGGCTTAGTTAAATGGCGCTTCGCGTTTGTGTTGCTACCTACTTAAGTGGTAGCCGTTTTGGCCACAGTAATTTTGTGGTCATGAATGACAATCGGCCACGGCAGAGTTGCAGCCATGAATTTTCAAGAAAAAAACAGGGCAATCTCTTTGTATTCCTCAAGGCGCAGACAAGACCTTAAAACGCCCCCATTGGGGAGTTCGACCAAACCAGATAATATTCGGGCGGATCATGCAGTGTGTCGTGCCTCAAGACTCCAAAGCGGGTATTACTTGGTTGCACAGTGTGGATGCACTGTAGAACTTCCCAAGAAATACACTGACTGGAGCGACCTCTGGCCTCCCGAACAGAATGCATGGGTATCTGACCTTTACCCGCCAAAATACCAAGAGCCTGGCATTGCCTTGTTAATTCCTCAATCTCCTTCAGTTGCCTTCATCCGATCTCCATGAGCACAAGTCGCGCCGCTAGGCCTTGCTTCGAAGCACATCCGGGCCGTGCCAAACTCCAAAAGTTCCGAAATGAGGGTCCCTGCAGTAGTACCCTGGGAAGCTCGTGCGGCAGCTAAAAGAGCCAGCACGCTGGCACGGATACCTCAGGCATGGCGACTAGACCCCGCACAACTCGACGAGGCCAAGGGGCAACGCGATCTCACTGGCGCTTTCATCCATCGTTTTCTTCAATCTCGAGACATTGAAATCATCTCCCAAGACTCCCTCGAGCTGACGCGAGCGATTGGCAGTGCGAAGCTTACAGCAGTAGAAGTCACGACGGCTTTTTGCAAAACTGCCGCTGTCGCTCACCAGATCAACAACTGCCTCCACGAGGTTTTCTTCGAACAGGCACTTGAGCGAGCCAAACAGCTCGACGCTTATTTCGCCGAGAATGGCAAGACGGTCGGGCCGTTGCATGGCCTTCCCATCAGCCTCAAGGATCAGTTCCACGTGAAGGGTGTCGACACTTCCATGGGATATGTCGGGTGGATCGGCTCCAATTTGGGGATCAAGGATCCCAGCCAAGCCCATCAAGTCGAGAGTCAAATCATCACTGAGCTCCTTTCTCTTGGCGCTGTCTTGTACTGCAAAACCAGCCTCCCACAGACTCTTTTGCTCGGCGAGACCAAGAACAACATTATCGGCCAGACGTTGAACCCTCATAACCAAAACTTATCTTGCGGAGGCTCTTCTGGCGGAGAGGGCGCACTGCAAGCTCTCCGTGGCAGTACTCTTGGCGTTGGGACTGACATTGGTGGCTCTGGTACGTATGGTCACCTCAAACGGAGTCCTGTAGAGCTGAATAGTGTGTTGCTGACCTATATCTATCGCAGTGCGTATTCCAGCCGCATTCAATGGCATCTTCTCTCTAAAGCCAACTCCTGAGCGGCTTTCGTATCGCCAGGTCGCCAACACTAATCCGGGTCAAAACACATATCGCTCAACCGTTGGCTTCCTCAGCACCTCAATCGGTGGGCTAGAGCTTGCACTACGCTCGACACTATCAAGAAAGCCGTGGATTAGTGACCCAGCTGTCGTGCCAATCCCCTTCCGCGAAGACGAGCTCTCTTTGGTTCGGGAGCGAGCTGATGCAAACGGCAGGGCAAGGGAACCATATCTACCGCTGAAGTTAGGTGTACTCTGGTACGTTTTGTGTGTCGCCGTTGGTAATGTCCAACAAAAGCGCTAACCTAGAAACCCTCAGGACTGACAAAAAGGTCGGGCCTCACCCCCCTGTCCTCAGGGGGCTTCACACAGTGGTGAATGCGCTTCGAGAAGCCGGACACAGGGTGCTTACCTTATACAAGTCAACATGCAAGCGAACTTGGTAGGGACTAACATGATACTTACATTAGGTGGTCGACTGGGAACCTCCCCTTCAAGCGACGGCCAAGCGAGTCCACGTGTCCTTCCTCAAAGCCGATGGGGCTCATGACATCCATAGTCACCTTAACCTCTCCGGCGAACCCCTGATCCCCGATCTCCAGGAAGCTTTTCAGCTGCGACCCCCTCTTAGTCTTCTCGAAACCCAAGATCTCACTCTCCAAGGCCTGGAGTACGAAGCGGCTTACTCTGACTACTGGAACTCTACTTCGAATGACGGGCAGATTGTCGACGCGGTGATTATGCCGGTGGCACCCCATGCTGCAGTGATTCCAGGGAAATACTACCACACCGGTACGTCTCGTACACTACGTCTTTGCTTTTCTGCTCGCTGGCATAGCCTGCACTCCTGAAGGTAATCCCGGCTGACGAAACTGAGATCCCAGCATACACAGAGGTTATAAACCTCTTGAACTATAGTGTTGCCGTCATTCCTGTCACCAAGGCAAACAAGGATATTGACGTGGTCGATCCTTCGTATCAACCATTGAACGGCCTTGACAAGAAGAACTCGGAGGCATATGATCCGGAGATCTACGACGGGGCGCCAGTTGGTGTGCAGCTTGTCGCTAGGAAGTTTGAAGAGGAGAAGATACTCGGCATCGCACAGATTGTCACTGCGGCCCTGAAAGCACATAGATAACTAGATGCGTTATACTAGTATCTCTGGAGCCTGGCAACGGAGGTAGAAGAATCCCGACATATTTCGTGCGGTATTCGACCAGTATAGTCTTTAGACTATACCTAATTGGGAAGGCTGCCGTTTCCAGATATAGCGATACGTGTAGTATGTTTGACATTATAGTTTAAGCGACACCGATCCTGCACTGGCGACCTTAACTTCGGATGTGTATATATCCTCTTTGGCTTCCTAACAATCATGTATGTGGCACTATGCAGCTGCAGCTGAAACTGAGCTTAGGGTGTTTCAAGGTCTTGAAATATCAGCCAATATCCAAGAGTTGAAAGCCAACAGCGACTAGAACCGCCCTAATAGCGCCAATTAAGAAGACATTGCGCCGACGTCGAACGATAAGAGCATGGCATGAATGCGAAATCTCCCACAATTGAGACGCAACCGCAGAATAGGCGCCCCTAACACTAGCTTGCAGATGCGCCGCTGAGCGACAGGAAGCAGGCGCTTCGAGCTTCATGCAACGGCATGCCATGGCAGCTCCATCGTACACTACTTGGGTCAGCGAATCGAGAGCTGCATGCAGTTCCATGGAACACTAGAAGCCGTTCAAGGTAAACTTCTCGTTGGTGGGGTGAGGAAAGCAGGGGCCAGGGGACGAGACAGGGATTCCATCGGATGGTGGGGAGAAAAAGTTTCGGGCCCCACAACCTCGGACGACTTTCCGCCATGCCCTGAGCACGGCGTTATTTCACTTCGATATCAGCCCATTTCGAGGCTGTTCCTTCCTTTCTCTTCTTGCGTTTAGACCGAAACTCCATTTCTTGCACAAAAATACCCTCGACTCGGCAGACAAAGATGAAAAGAAAGGCAGACGGCCCCGTGGACGGCAGAAAGCCGACCAAAAAGCGATCCAAAGATGGTACCTAACTTTTTCCTCCACCCACTACCTCGGCGCAACTCTGGCGCATGAGCTAACTCCCACCAGCGCTCAGCGACAAAGACGCCAAAGCCCGGTTCCGCACCGGTCTCTTCGACAAGACCGTCCTCGACAAGCACACCTCTCAATACGCCTCGTCCACCCCCTACAAGCACGGCGTCATCACCGGCCTAGTCAACGACACCCTGCTGCGCAACGTCCGCTCCGAGATCAAAACCAACGTCCACTTCACCCCGAAAGAAACCGACATCTACAAGATCCACCAGAGCGGCGACCTCGCCAACCTCGACGGCCTCGACGACGAAGCCCTCGCCAAGCTCCCCTCGCTGCTGGCCCTGCGCGACGCCCTCTACTCCCAGACCTTCCGCGACTATGTGTCGCACATCACCCGCTGCGGGCCCCTGAGTGGGCGCAAGACCGATATGGCCATCAACGTCTACACTCCCGGCTGCTATTTGCTTTGTCACGACGATGTCATCGGGTCGCGCAAGGTCAGCTACATTTTGTACTTGACTGATCCGGACACGCCGTGGCAGCCCGAATGGGGCGGCGCATTGCGTCTATTCCCCGTGGTGGATCGCAAGGGGAAAGACGGTGAGGTGGCCAAGACGCCGCTGCCGGATGTTGTCAAGGTGATTCCGCCCGCTTGGAATCAGCTGTCGTTCTTTGCCGTGCAGCCGGGGGAGTCATTTCATGACGTGGAGGAGGTCTACCATGCCGCGACCAAGGAGGAGCTGGAGAAGAACGGCGGGCGCATCCGCATGGCCATCAGCGGGTGGTTCCATATCCCGCAGCTTGGTGAGGATGGGTATGTGGAAGGGGCGGAGGAGAAGGCGGCGCAGAAGAGCGGGTTGATGCAGCTGCAGGGTAACCCAGACCAGCACGACCAGCCGCAAGCGAAGCCCGTTACGGTTGAGGGGGAAGATGAGGAGGAGGATGAGGACAGTGACGAGTTTCCGTTGGATGAGTCGGATCTAGAGTTCTTGCTCAAATACATCACGCCGACATACCTTGCGCCAGATACCGTCGAGCGGGTCGCCGATCATTTCGAGGAGGAGTTCAGCATCACCTTGCCAGATATTCTGCACCCTAAGTTTGCCGAGAAACTGCGCGCCTACGTCGAGTCGCAAGAAGCCAAGACGCTACCAAACAACAGCGCGGAGATCGAAAAGGGCGCCTGGAAAGTCGCCCGTCCGCCACACAAACACCGTTACATGTACCTCCAGCCTGGCCAGAAGAAGCTCGAGCCTTCACCCCTGAAGGAGCTGCTAGAAGTCCTGTTACCATCACGTCAGTTCCGTCTCTGGCTACAGATGGCTACTCGCTCCAGGATCGAGAGTCACGACCTGCTAGCTCGGCGGTTCCGTCACGGACATGATTACACCCTCGCCACAGGGCACGACGGCAAGCCGAGGCTGGAAGTAAATCTCGGATTCACCCCAACAGACGGCTGGGGAGGCATCGAGGAGGATGACGACGAGGAAGAAGAAGGGGAAGGATCGTCAGAGGACGGAGACATCCCCAACACCAAACCCAGCCGGAAGGCCGCCACCGCGAATGGCAAAAGCAAAGGCAAGGGCCAAGCCGACAGCAGCCCCAACAAGTCCAAAGGCAAAGCCAATGCCAAGGCTGCCGACCAAGACGTCGATATGGACGACGGAGAAGAAGAAGAAGAAGTCGGCGGTCACGAAGTGTACATGGCGGGCGACGACGACGGCACCGAAGACGCAGCCATCTACAAAAGCAGCGCCGACGACGACGACAACAACATCCTCTTCTTCCAGGCCGCCGCGTGGAACAAGATGTCCATCGTCCTGCGCGACAGTGGGACCCTGCGGTTTGTGAAATATGTCAGTGCCAACGCTAAGGGGGATCGCTGGGATGTTAGTGGGACGTTTGAGATTGAAGAGCAGGATGAGGATCCGGATGAGGATGGGATGGCGGTTGGGGTGGTGAGTGATTCTTCGGAGGAGGAGTTTAATGGGTTCTCCAGTAGTGAGGAGAGTGAGTCGGATTAGGGGCCGCGTGGGTGGATATACTGTCCGAGTTATCGTCTTCTTACCCCATTTGCCAACGAGTAACTACGTTCTTAGTCAGACGACATATGCACGCTGGGCGAGTTAAGGGGGGAATAGACTTGCGCCAACCACTGCGGTTGCGGAAAGGTATGTAAAAGTCGGCTTCTCAACATCAAACACATGTGACAGCGTCGCCCTTGCACTGTACACTACCCAAGCATAGGATCTTGAGCAAGTCAACGTGTTGCGTCACTCATATTACATCTCCGTGAATCAGTGGTTACACTACTATATACACAGTTTCGTATGGTACGCACAGCGCCAATAGCCATAGCCTCTGCTCTTGCCTTCTCGACCCCAAAATTTCCTTGCGAAATCCATTCCCAACACGACAACTCCATCAACTCTCAATCTCGATCCCCTGCAGACAACCCCGGGCAGTCTCCAAGCGAATCAAAACCATCCCACGTTGAGAGAAACCACGCAATTGGAGGTTACTCGGTCCTTGTGTGACGCGCGTAATGTGAGTGGCTGGCGCTCTGGCTTCCTTTTTCGGCCCGCTGCTGGATGCATGCATCCAAGTCCCGGAATCCCTGTACATTTTCTCGCTTTCACAGAGGACTGCAACCTTCATACTCTAGACCACGTGTGGACGGTCTTTTCTGCTATGATGTGGGTGAACCGACGCGTTCGCTGTGGCGGTGCTTGAACAGGGTATGGACTGCGCGTTTCCTGGTGTTTTTTTGGGAGTCTGGATTTGTTGGTTTGACTCCTGATCAGTGATCGACATTGTGAGGCTTGTTTCTGCGAATTTTGCAAAGGGCTGTCGTCGTATTTCGTATACGCTGGGGATGAGCTGAAGCTTGCCCGGCTGGGGTGGTTACGGGGGATATGACGTGGGTTGGAATGATTGAAATGAATGCCTCGTAAGGCAGATTAGGTGATGCGGGTTGTCTCTGGTTTCGTTTCTAGAAGGTTATATGGAGTTGGTAACCCAGAGAGAAGTCGATCGAGGCTTGGTTTTCCTTTGTTAGTCTTTCTCAACCGTCACTGTCACCGTGTTTCATTCTCCCATTGTCAGGTCTCATTCCCGAGACCTTCCCGACCGACACAATGCTCCCAATCCTCCTCACCCTCTTCCTCACCACCCTCGCAGTCCAGGCCCGCTGCGATCCAGACCCATCACCACCCGGCCTCATCGACCTCGGCTACGCCCGGCACATCCCCACCTCCATCAACACCACCGCCTCCGGCGTGCGCGTAGCCATCTACAACAACATCCGCTTCGCCCGGTCCCCCACAGGTGACCTCCGCTTCCGCGCCCCCAACACCGACCTCCCGCACGTCCCCGACATCCAAGACGGCACTAACCCCGGCGGTCCAGGCGGACCGGGCGGGCCAAACGATGTGTCGTGTATTTCGTCGGCGCCGTGGTATATACCCTTTCCAGGGTTGAATGGGACGACGTGGGGACAGGAGGATTGCTTGTTTTTGGATGTGTATGTCCCCGAGGGGGTGAAGCCGGGGGATGATGTGCCGGTGTTGCATAATTTTCATGGGAGTGCGTATGCGTTTGGGAGTAAGGGGACGTTTTTTGATCCGATGGGGTTGTTTGATGCGGTGGGGAAGGGCAATGGGGGGAAGTTTATTGCGGTTGCGAATAATTATCGGTAAGCTCTTTCCCCCTCCCTTTCCTGTGTCTCTCTCGTTGTCCTGGAGGTTGTCCCTGAGTCAAGTGAGTGACTGAATGAGTTATCATGACTAATAAAAACAACAGAATGGGCGTCTCCGGCTTCACCTGGGCCCAAGGCGAAGACCTCGACGGCAACGTCGGCCTACTCGATTGCCTCGCCGCGGCTGAATGGACATCCAAATACATCTACCACTTCGGTGGCGACCCCCAACGCATCACTGCCATCGGCCAGAGCGCCGGCGCGGGTATCCTCTACTACCTCACCGTCCTCCACGACGCTCACGGCACGCTGGACACCCCCCTCCCCTTCCAACAAATCTTCATCTCCTCCCCCGCCGGCCCCCAACGCCGCAACGTCACATCCCGCCAGCGCCAGCTCTTCGACCTCGTCCTCGACACAGCCAATACCACCTCCCTAGCCGGCCTGCGCGCCCTGTCGGAGACTGACTTCATCGCCCTCAACGACGCCATGATCAACCAAATGCCCAGCGAAGGCGGCGGCGGCAACCTAGGCCCCATCCTCGGTTTCGGCCCAGCCCCTGACGGATCACGCATCCCCGACATCCCATCCGCCCTAATCCAGCGCGGAGCCGTCCACCACCACGACCTGAAGGGCCTCATACTCGGCTCAATGGCCAGCGAAGGGCAAACGACGTCGTCAGACGAGGGCATGCCGGATGCCTTTGGGGCGTTGGCACGGCGGACGCTGCCAAATGCGAGTAATGAGACGGTGCAGGAGGTGTTAGATTTGTATTATACGCCTGGGTTGGAATCGCAGCTGGCGTGGGATTGGACGACGGATGTGGTGTTTGCGTGTAATGCGTTTAATTTGGCGAGGGGGTTGCCGGGGAAGGCGAGGAGGTATATTATGTCGACGCCGCCGGCGACGCATGGGGAGGATTTGCTGTGTATGTTTTGCATCTAAAGTGTTTCCCCCCTAAGAAGAGAGTGAGCCAGCTAACACAAAGGAACAGATTACTTCTACGTCGACGACGAACAGACCCCCGTGAGCGACCCGCAGCTGGTCGAGCCGTTCCAGACGAAGCTGCTGGCTTTCTTGCATGGCGAGGACCCCCAGTGGCCGGTGTATGGGGACGATGAGCGTCTGTTCAACATTACGGACTCGTTTGAGGCGACTACGCTGCCGGATTCGCTGCGGGCGCGTTGTGATTTGGTTAATAAGCTGGTGTTTGACCCAGCGAATGGGGCGTAATGAGGTGTTGTGATGATTGTGGCTGATTCTCGTTTCCTTCTTTGTTGAGGTTGAATTTCAAGATTGTTTTGTCCAGTAATCGACAGACTAGTTGACGGAACAAAGACTGTAATCGGTCTCCTTGGAAATTAGTAACATTTCGAGTCTTCCCTAGCTATCCTATCCGGCCATAGAGAAAAGATGAAAAGTGTTGGCCAAATTTTGGGAACAGTAAATGTGATATATAACTCCCTCTGTGACGAAAAGAGGAAAGTTGCAGTTGAGTAAGAGATAAGATCAATACTGATAATCTCAGCCTGGCTTATACCCACTTTCGTTCCTTCCTCCCTTTCAACTCCAACAGCCCTTATAACCCACCTTTCCGCTACCAATTCCCAACAGCTCCCCCATCCGGCAAATGCCCAACCGCGGATGGCGCATTTGGGGGGGCGCGGGCAGCACCGGGCGTGCCCGCTTTCTCCCCTTCGTGAGTTTGACTCACGGTGGGAGCACCATATTAGTAAAATTCTTCGGGATTTTCGTAGCTGTCCACAACCTTAGGGGAGAAATTGGGCAGTGAGCTTTTTGGCTTTTCTTTTTCATTTCCACTTTTCTATTTCTCATCTTAGAGAGCGCCGACAATGGATAAAGTAATTAATTAGTTGTTGTGATACACCCATACTTACACAGTACAGAGCGACGTTCCAGGGTTAGGGTTAATATCAGACGGACCCTGGCTCGCCTGTAACAAGATCCCTGCAGCTGGCCTTACCCCTGCAACGGTTCCCTTTCAGCTCCCCGCCTGCCTGGAGCCTTCTGCATCCATTGGCCTCCCCAAAAAACATCCAACTTCGACCGAACATCAACTCGCAACCTTTCGCCATTGAACCCGCCACCGACCCAAACCGCCGATTCCGCATCCGATCCCATGTAAAGCCAATGCCAACCGACTTTTTTGACCCTCAAGCGTCGTCATGGCGCCGCCTCCCAAGCGACGCAAGCGCGCCATTGTCGAATCCGACTCCGATGACAATGATCACAATAACGAGACGACCACCCCCCAAAACAAAAACACCATCCAACGCTTCCTCTTTTCCTCGCCCTCCAAACCCCAGAATTCACCCTCAAAACCCACCGCCACAACCCCCTCCTCATCATCCCTAAATACCAAGAAAAACCCAACCCTCCTCTCCCCAACTCCAGCCCGCAAACGACCAACCACAACCACCTCCTTCTCCCAAGGCAGCCCGTCCCCAAGCCCCCGCAAACCATCCACCGCCGCCGGCAACAACACCCCCCTCAAATCCCGCACACGCGCCGGCACCCAGCGGAAACGCAAAGCAGCGGCCGAAGATGCGGCCGAAGCCGGCGGACGGTCGGGGAATTTGTTGACGCTGTTTTCGAAACAGGCACGGGCGCAGCAGTTGGCTAGGGATGAGGCGGGGGGTTCATCACAGCAGGGGAATGGGATTGGTAGTGGGGGTAATAATAATAATGGGATTGGGAATGGGAAAGGAAGACGGGATGAGATTGTTAGTGATCCGATTTCGGAGGGGAATGGGAATGGGAATGGAGATGGGCAGAAAGAGGAGGATGACGATGACGTGCCGCTGATGGTGTCGTCGGCGTCGGCGGCTGCGTCGAGTTTGGTTGGGAGGGCTAAGGCTGCGCAGAGACGGTTTGGTGCGCCGGCTGGGACTGCGAATGGGAGTGGGAATGGAAATGGGTCTGTGGTTGGGAAAAAGAGTGCGGGTAGGAATGGGAATGGGGATGGTGCGTCCGAAAACTCGCAGTCGTTTGGGTCGCAGGGCTCAGTTAAGAGTGGGGGACAGCGGTTTCTGCGGCCGACGCTGTCTGCTAATAATTCATCTACGACGATGGCTACGACGACGACCAAGACGAAGCCGGTGGATATTAACGATAACGACGCCCGTCCCTGGTCGGAGCGGTTCGCGCCCGTTAATTTGGACGAGCTGGCGGTGCACAAGAGGAAAGTGCAGGATGTTAGGCGGTGGTTGGACGATGTCTTTTCCGGGCGTATCAGGCAGCGACTGCTGATTCTCAAGGGCGCCGCGGGGTCCGGGAAGACGACGACGGTGAGGCTGCTGGCGCGGGATATGCGGTGCGAGGTGCTCGAGTGGCGGAACCCGGCCAACTCGTACGGGCTGGCCGGGCATGGGTACCAGTCTGCTGCTGCGCAGTTTGAGGAGTTTCTCGGCAGGGGCGGGAAGTTTGGGCAGCTGGATTTCGAATCGGACGACGCGGGTACACCGCCCCCCACGGCACCTCCGCCGGCACCGGCCAGCGGAACGAGCGGGAGTAGCACCGCGGAGAAGCGGCTGATCCTGGTGGAGGAGTTCCCCAACACCTTCATGCGCTCGTCGACCGGGCTGACGGGGTTCCGCAACGCCATCATCCAGTTCCTCGCCGCCAACATGCCCGCGCTGTCCGGGTTTGGCTCGCGCTACAACGCTGAGCCCGTCACCCCGATCGTCATGGTCATCTCCGAGACCCTGCTGACCACAACGTCGGCGTCTGCGGATAGCTTCACTGCTCATCGACTGCTGGGGCCCGAGATCCTGCGACACCCAGGCACGGGCGTAATCGAGTTTAATCCTGTTGCACCGACTTTTCTCAGCAAGGCGCTCGAATTGATCGTGCAGAAAGAAGCGCGCAAATCGGGACGACGGCGGACACCCGGGCCCTTGGTCCTGCAGCGGCTGGGAGAAATCGGCGACATCCGCAACGCCATCTCGTCGCTTGAGTTCCTCTGCCTCAAGGGTGATGGCGAGGCCGACTGGGGGTCCAAGATCGCTTTCACGAAACCTAAGCGCGGCGCCAAGGACGTGCCGGCCCTGACCAAGGGCGAGCAGGACAGCCTCGAGCTGGTCTCGCAGCGTGAGGCCACCCTCGGCATTTTCCACGCCGTCGGCAAAGTCGTCTACAACAAACGCGGCGGCGCACTGAATTCCGCAGAGTCCGAAGAAGCCAACGCAGCAGCCAACGCCGAAATCCTCCCCAGCTACATGACCCACCTCGCCCGCCCGAAACGCTCCGAAGTAGCCGTCGACTCCCTCATCGGCGAGATCGGCACCGACACGCATACCTTCATCTCCGCACTACACGAGAACTACGCGCTCTCGTGCGAGCAGACCAGCCCCGCCGACCCCAACTCCTCCATGGACTACCTCAATGGCTGTCTCGACTACCTCTCTGACAGCGACCTGCTCTACCCGTCGTGGGATATCTTTTTCGGCGGAGGCAGTGGTAAAGGTAGTCTAGGCGGGAACGGTGGGGGCGGCTACGCGGGAAAGGACTCTGGGAGTCATGTCCTGCGACAGGATGAGATGGCGTTTCAGGTTGCGGTGAGGGGGTTGTTGTTCTCGTTGCCGTCTCCTGTGAAGCGGAAGACGCATCCGACGCCGACGGGGGGTGGGGGGTATCGAGGAGGCGGCGGCGGCGGCGGTGGTGGTGCGGGGGATGCGCACAAGATGTTTTATCCGACGTATTTGAAGCTGTGGCGGAGCAAGGAGGAGTTGGAGGGGTTGGTGGATATGTGGGCGACGAGGATGCTCAAAGGGGATTCCTCCTCATCTGCTTCCACCTCATCCGGATCGGGATCAGCGTCGGGGTCGACTGCGTTCCGTCGACCTGTACCGAACGGGACAAATGGGTTCTCCGCGGGGAATAAATCACAAACCTCCATCAACGTATTCGGCTCTCCTCGCAAGAACGCCCCTCTCAACACCCAGCAACAACCCCAATCTCAACTCCAACAGCAACAAACTACCCCCCTCCTCTCCCTAGGCAGCGCAGCCCGCCAGGAACTCCTCCTCGAACGCCTGCCCTACATGGCACACATCGCCCGCCGTCCACGCCCACCCACCGCACGCTCGCTGTTCAACTCCGCCAGTACCACCACCGCCAACGGTAGTAACGCCAATAATAGTTACGCATCCACAATCCTAGGCTCATCAATCCACGCCCGTGACCTCGACCGGATTGTCTCCTTCCAGGGTATCGGCGCTCTCGGCGCGAGTGAGGCGGACGAGGATGATGAAGCCGATGCCGGTGATGAAAACGTACAAGCCAGCGGTCGGGACCCAGGAAGTGGTGGTGGTGATTCGGTATGGGCTACGGATCGGCCGAATGAAGATGGTGGGACGCCGAGGAAGAAGAGGAACGTGAGGAGGGTTGGGTTGGGGGGGTTGTTGGGAGGGAGGGGGAATGGGAGTGGGAGTGGGAATGGGAATAGTGGCAGTGGGAGGGGGGTGGTAAATGAAGAGGATGAAGGGGAACAGGCGGGGGGATTGGGAGGGGGGTTGGGGGGGATGCAGAGTTTGGTGATTAGTGATGATGATATTGAGGATGATTAGGGGGGGGGATTACTGGGAGGAGAAAGAAGGGAAGTATAGGGAGAAGAAAGAGGAAGAGCGGAGAAATGTACCTTATTACGTCGCTGAGATTGCTGGGGCAAATTTTCCCTGCCGGTTTAACCTAGCCTTTTTTTTGCTTTGCTTGAGAGCAATGGGCCACGGACAGAGGGGAGTGATTGATTTGGACGGCGTTTGGTTTGGGTTCGGTTCGGTCTGGTGGGGGGTTGGGGGGATAATCAAAGGTTGTGAGATAGATCGCAGGCAGGCTTTGATATTCGCTACTTAGCTCTCAGCTCTAACGTTATATGTTTCGGTGCATCTTTTGGTACGGTTTCTTCGTGTGTGTTCTCTCCGACGTGAACTTGAATGGCCAGACACTTCCCATCTGTTCCATGGAATGAATGGCTACAGTGCTCCTCTGAAACCTCGAGTGTGGTCTTGTTGCTGTGTATGTAACCAATCTCCAACCGCGCACCCTGACGGCCACCCACCAAATCCCGGCCCCACCGCGATAAGCCCCTCGATAAGCCCAACCCCACCCGTTCCCCACACCCTCCCCACCCCCAGCCAATCAAAACCCTTCCTTTCAAACGCCCCTTTATAACCCCCCAATTCCGGTCCTGCCAAACGGAGTAGGCCCGCTCAGACCGAACTCATTTCCTGCCTTTTACCGGATGTGACCGTGAGTTGGCCTAAAATACTCCATATCCCCAATCTTTGGAATCACAACCTCTCTGGGTGTCCCAGATTCGAATCATATTTTTGGCGGGTTGCGAAATGGGTTTTTGTTTTTTAGCTGAGGGCGGCAGGGGGTTTAAGGGGGAGTTGAGGGTGGTTTGGGATGTTTTGGGGGGGTTTGAGAGGGTTTTGGGTGAACTTGCGGGGGAGTGGTTGTAGGAGTGGTAGTGGTGTTGATGGTGATGTGACGGTCGGTATGGTATGGTATGGTACGGATGGTGTTGAGTTGATTGAAACAGGTCACGGCCCAAAACTGTGTAATTATTCGCCCCGTCTGAACATGACTTTCAAAGCACACTCAATCGAAAGTGCAAACCCATCTCCATTCTTCATTCTCTACCATCCCCTCCAAATGCATTCATCGACGCTTGACAGCAACCCAAAAGATGGGAGCACAGTAAAGTAACGAGCGGGGCACGCGACTGCTCTCACCCCTGCAACCTCGGCTCGGGAAGGTCTTTTATGCACCGGCGGCACATCAAGCACACCCGCCAGCGCCAATGCCAGCGCCAAGTGCCTCGGCCACCTCGGTTTTGGTTTCCCGCCCGAGGACGATAGTCAACAATACCTCCCTCAGTAACATGCAGTGAAGCCACCCGAGACGAGGACAAAACAACAGCAACAACAACACTTGCTACTGCCCATACCGGAAACAAAAAGAGTTCAACTCGCCACCAATTGACAGACTTTGCCCAGTCAATTGGCTTTGCTGTGGTCGCCTCGAGTTGTGCACGCGGGCGAATCAGCTAACTAGCGGTGGCGGGGGATCCAACCTAGTAGCCTAGTAGGCCCGGTCGGACAACAAGTCCAAAAGTGGTCGGGGGTTTGGCCGACAGCACATCTCACATCCGTCATCACATTGGACTGCTGCGAGACGAAACACGGAAACTTGGACGAACACTCGATCTACCTTTGTTCGCTGATATTGGGGTGAATACTGGACTGAGAAGATACCGACAAGACGACCGAGATCCAGCAAGATGGCCGGACGGGTGCGCCAGCCCATTGACGTCGGCGCGCTGGAGCGATGGATCGCCAAGAATGTGCCCCGGATTGAGGTGCCGCTGGACGTGAAGCAGGTAGGTTGAGCGACAGATACGGATACAGTAGAGACACAAAGAAACAGAAAATACTGACCCCAGCAGTTCGGCTTCGGCCAGTCGAACCCAACCTACCAACTGACAGCCGCCGACGGGCAGCGCTACGTGCTCCGCAAGAAGCCGCCCGGCCGACTCCTCTCCAAGACGGCGCACAAGGTCGAGCGCGAGTACCGCATCATCCACGCCCTCGAGCACACCGACGTCCCGGTCCCGCGCGCCTACTGCCTGTGCGAAGACACCGCCGTCCTCGGCACCGCCTTCTACATCATGGAGTTCCTCGACGGCCGCATCTTCGAGGACCCCATCATCCCTTCCGTTTTACCGGAACACCGCCTCGCCATCTGGACCGACGCCGTGCGCACCCTCGCCAAACTGCACCGCATCGACCCGCGCGCGATCGGTCTGGAGGCGTTTGGGAAGCCGACCGGGTTTTATAATCGGCAGGTGGCCACTTGGCGGTCGGTGTGTGATGCTCAGGCTGCTGTGCGCGATGTTGAGACCCGCGTGGCTGTCGGGCCGCTGCCGCATTTCGCCGATCTCATGGCTTTTTTTGCCGATGAGAACCAGCAGCCGGCTGATCGGGGCACGCTCATCCATGGCGATTTCAAGATTGATAACCTTGTCTTTCACAAGACTGAGCCGCGCGTCATTGGCATTCTTGAGTGCGTCCTCTCTTCCTCCCCTTCCCCGTAAAATTAAGTAGCACAGATACTGACAACCACAGCTGGGAAATGTCCACAATCGGCCACCCCCTCTCCGACATCTCCAACCTCCTGACCCCCTACTTCACCGCCCGCCTCGACCCCCGCCGCTCCGTCAACGTCCACCCGGGCTTCCGCCCCCGCGCCACCCGCGGCCTGCCCACCCCAGACGAAATCACCTCCCTCTACTTCACCGTCGCCTCCTTGCCCTCCCCCACCTCCCCGCGCCCATCCTCCTCTCTCGAACTCACCCTCCACCGTCACAACCACAACCACCACGACGACGACCACATTCACCACAGCTCAGGAGGACGAAGCACCAACATCTCCCCGGAACGTCGCCGTGAACTGCAGTGGGCGCAGGCGTTTAATATTTTTCGGCTGGCTGCGATTTGTCAGGGGATTGCGGCGCGCCAGGCGGGGAGGCAGGCGAGTAGTGAGCAGGCGAGACGGTATGGGGATGCGAGGGGGCCGTTGGCCGAGTTTGCTTGGCAGTTGGTGCAGAGTGCTAGGTCGGAGGGGAGGTCGGCTTCTGGATCGGGATCGGGGGTAAGGGGTGATGTGGGAAGGAGAGGAGATGAGCGGGGTGAGGATGAAGGGGGTGATGGTGAAGAGGAGAGGAAGAGGGAGGATGGGGAGAAGTCGAAGTTGTGAGTGAGGGTTGGGGTAGTGTATGTTGTTGTGGGGCGTACATATTTCGGTATATTTTGTTTACTTGCATTTTCCATTTTCTTTCGTCTTTTGCATCGTACAAAGCTTGGCAGTCACGGGCTAGTAGCATCAAAGCGTGGTCAGGTAGCATGAGCATGTTCGTACTGTACGCAGACAGGCCTCGGTCCTGAGTCTCTCCGGGCATCATTCGCACCAGCCTTGACCCCTATAGCCACATCAAAATGTGTTCCATAGCTAGACCACTGATGCAGTATCCACCCATCGCCCCAACTATGACCGCTTCAACTTCAAACACTCTTCCGGCAGGCCCTTAACTCCCCAATTCCCCAGCTATGGCCGCTTCCACACAGACTCACCTACAGGTAATTACCCGACTTCAGACACGTGGTCAGCTTGCTTTTCCGCTTGACGACGCTCACCTAGCTGCATGACTCTCGAAGTCTTAACCCGAACCCGAACATTAGATCCATGTTGTCATGCAAGTGCGGAGGCAAAGACGACCCGCAACTTAGTGGCACTCCGTGGACGTCCCACGGATATCATAATGATTTTATTTATTCTCACTAACTGGCTACCCCTAGTCGCTTTAACCGGGCTCAGACCCTTTCGTACTCCCCTTGAAACTATTCCTTCACAAGGTCAACCGAGCTGACCATCAAAGTCTCGATGTCAACATGCAGATATGAATACATTGTAAAAGTTTGGGCTATTCTTCTCTCTGACTTCCCCGTACCCCCACCAATGAAATAACCTAGAATTACCTGGCATACAGGACTGCGAGTACTTAACTTATTTAATGCGCCCCATCGTTTCGTAGGTGGTCATGACTAAGTGCTAGGATGTTGTGCCCCCTTTATCGTTGTTTGCTATTCACCGATTCCAGACTTGATAACTATACATGCACACTTGCAAACACACACACACCCACGCAACCCAGGACAATAAGAACAACCCTCGAGCGACCCAACCGCTCCAAATGTATGAAAATCTAAGCTACATAGCTGATCATCACAAACTTAGTAACCCCCTTGCCCAAGTCACATTCCCCCCACAGACCACCACCGTCAAGTACAGTTTATCCTCCACTCCAGCTATCTATTATCCATCTCGTTATCCGACCGTCTCTGATAAGTCCCGACATCGTTAGTCCCCGTCCGAACAAAACATCACTCCCAACCCAACCAATCACATCATATAACCATTCCCTTCTCATCACTACGACAACCGAGACTTTCTTGACGGTGTACTCGGGCATCACAGTGCAATCTAGACCTACATATCTTACCTGCCTCCATACTACATACACCACATACTGACTGACACTTGATAACACCTAGACCGCACCACACCTACCTCCATCACACCTACATACCTGTATCACTCAAACAGACCGCACCACACAGGAATTCCCAACACAGAACAACCAACTTGACTCTACGAAAAAAAGACATGTTCACCAAAGCACATTGCAGTCATCAAAATTATTAATAAGCAAGGGAGATTACCTCCATAGTAAACACCAATAATCGATACGTCACCCGTACAGAAGCCAGTGCGAAATACTGCATCGTACATAGTCCCCCAACCAAACTTGTAATTACAACAAAATCATCACCAAAGCACCATCCCGTCAACAAGAACATAGCAATTGAAAGAATAAATGTACAAGATCCTCTCAACAACCACTAATAATAACCTCACACCGCATTGTGTTACCACATCGGGCCCAACCAAACGAGGTAAAAAGCCAAAGATAATCAAGAAATAATCAATCACCCTCAAGCGTCATGTCATGCACAAGCACTGAAGAAATTCCCCTAACTAACACCCCCCACATGCATCTACAGAAGTGAGTCAAGATTATACAGGCGGACGGACACACGGACAGACAGATGGAGCCAGCCAGCCAGCCAGCCAGATATCCCGATATCCAGATGTCCAGATAGATCGATAAATTTACAGATGAGCGGGACCATTTCGATGAACGGGACCTTTGACATGAATGGAATCCTCAAGATGACCTGTATCATCACAATACCAAAGATGAGCAGATGAGCAGATGCAAAGTGCAAATTGTATTCCCTATTCCCTATTCCGTACGTCCCCCTCCTTCTCTCTCTCGCTCGCTGGCAACTGACTGACTACGTTAACTACCCACCCCTTAGCTGCGTCAACCCCAGCCCCACTTCCGCTGCAAAGCCAAAGTCAAAGTCAACGTCCAAGTTAAAAAAAAAAAGAGAGAAAAAAAAACCAGAACGGAATGAGGCGAGGAGCCGAATCAAATCGAGTCTGGCGAGACTCAGGCTCAGAATTGAACGGAGGTAAACTCCCCCTATCAACCCCAACCCATGCAAAGCGCACCCCAGCCATCCGTGAGCCCGAGAACATATGCAAATGTAATGAACCCCCCTAAACAACGCCCCAGCCCACCTTGTCCGCCCCCGCCTACGGGATGTGTGGATAGTGATGTGTGCGTGTGTTCGTGTCCGTATTGTCTGTCCTGCCTGTCTGTGTCTTGTGTGTCCTAATGATTTCCATGTTCGCCCCAACACCCAGTTCCCATCCGATCCCATTCGACAAAGGGAGAAGAGAATACGAAGAAAAAAGGGGAAGGAAACAAAGTGGAAGAGAAAAGCACCCCGAGGACCTCATCTGCCGGCTCCCTCTCACGCGCGTCACCGGTGAGTGGAACACCAGGCGGTGGCTCGAGAAATCCAGGCCAAGGCGAAGGTGAAGATCACGATGTGGTAGGCCGATCCTCGTGTCCGCCATTCCCCTCTGGAAGCTAAAGCAAAGAACCCCAGTCAAAGCACTACCACCGTACCCTGCGTCGAAAAGCAAACCGGCCTCCTAACGTAAACAATGGAGAAACGCCGACTCCATATGGTTGTCCCATCCCAGCGCATGCCATTCCATCCACTCCATGTTATGCCATTATGTGAGGGGTCAAAATGCCCAGCCCAATCCGCCGTTGTGTATCGAGGGGAAGAAAGAGAAGAGAAAATCAAAAAAGCCCGAAATCAGGAAAAAAGGCAAACGCTCTATAGTGCAATGCAACGTATGCGTTCATGTCGTAATCATCAACGAGAATCGAAAGTAGAGAACCCCAAATAGAAAAGGGGGGCAAGGAAAAAAATGGAGGGGAGTGGAAAGAGAAATACCGAGAAAACGCTTCATGATGAGAGAAAGGAAAAACAACCCGGCAGCCTAAAGATGAGGCCACTTCGATTGCCCACCACTGGGACGGTCACCGTCGGTCCTGGACTGTGGTGCGGGCCCCGAGCCATCCTGGCGCGGCCAAAATCTGTTGGTTTGTTGAGCGGGGCTTTCGTTATTTGGCTGGGCCTGCATCTGTGATGGTCTCCGGGCCAGCAAAGTTGAGGACGTTGGATCCGGGCGCGGGGGAGGAGGCAGTGTGTTTAGGCTCCGCGATCGGCCCAAACGGCTCGACGCAAAACCCGTCGCCGTGCTTGGAGTCGCCGCCCGCTCCGGTGCTGGATTGTGGCTTGTCGCTGGAAGAGTTTGGTGCCAGTTCGCCCACTCATTGGCCTCGGACAACGGGCTGTGGCTCATAGGTGGCCCTTGCAGCTGTCTTAGTGGCTGTCTTGACGCCAGTGGCTGTCCTGGTGGCTGTCCTGGTGGCTGTCCTAGTGGCTGTCTTGATGCGAGTGGCTGTCCTGGTGGCTTTCTTGGTGGTTGTCCTAGTGGCTGTCTTGACGCCAGTGGCTGTCCTGGTGGCTGTCCTAGTGGCTGTCTTGACGCGAGTGGCTGTTTTGGTGGTTGTCTTGGTGGTTGTCTTGGGTCCTATCCTCCCGGCCTTGTCTGACTTTGCAGTGGCCCCTCCATGTAACCCCTAGGCTCTGTCCAGCTCGGCAGTGGCCAACCCTCATCTCCTCGTGTCCTCGTGATCCGTAACGGATTAATCGGCCGCCCATCCACCCGTGGCACCTCATCTCCCCACGGTTGCTCATCTACCCGTGGTCTCTCATTCAGCCATGCCCATGTTCTCTCAATTCCCGGTGTGCTCACAATCCGTGACGGATTGATCGGCCGCCCATCTACCTGTGGTATCTCATCTTCCCATGCCCTCTCGTCTCCCCGTGGCCTCGCGATCCGTGACGAATCGCTCGGCCTAGCCCTACTCCAAGGGCCCTGCTACTGCACCTGGGCCTCCGGACCGGCAACATGGGGAGCGTTGGCACGCCCGGCTAGCGCATTCTGGAAGCTGGGCGCGCTGATCGGGGGAAGTTGCTGGGATACGGAAGACGGGGCTTGGGTACCGAATGGCGTGTTGGGAAAGTAGCCGTGTTGGTGTTGATGGTTAGGGTTCGGTGGCAGCGGCGGGGGCGCGTTCGTGCTCAGGCGGAAGCTGGACGGTCCCGGATTGGCAGTCGACAGGGCCGAGTCGAACGGAGAAGCAGCCGTAGCAGGAGGGCGGCCTGACTCGGCAGACTGGTAAAACAGGCGTTGGCTCGGGGCGAACTGTCTCGTGTACCTAGACGTCAGCATCCAGTCTGAATCCTCCGCGGGCGGGACAGGCCAGAGCGAGTGGTTGGGGGGCGTTACACGTTCGCTTGTGGGGCTGTGCTGCCCGGACGGGACTGTGGATGATGGTGCACCCGTCGAGCGCGCGGGGCCGCCCGTGAACATGCCACCTGGGTGGACGTAATGACCGCTACTGTGCCTAACACGCGTTCGTCTCCGGTTTTCCGCTTCCGTCGGGGGAGACCGCCGCTGCGAGGGCCGCGGCACCACCGAGCCTTCAGAGCCTCCTTCCAGCCGGGCTCGATGACGCGAGTACTGAGAGTCCTGCGGCGTGAATAGGCGCAAGACCTCATCCCTGGAATGTTGTTAGCGCTAATTACCTCTCCAACGCATCCAGGGAAACAGATTAGATATTAGGGTACACGTACGGTCCAGGGTGTGAGTTGGTTGGAAGACGAGTGCGCATCCGTAGCAGGTTGTTATATCGCGAATTAGGAACCATAGCAAGCTCGCTAGGCACCTTGTCACGGCAATAAGGGCAACTGTCGGACTCCTCAAACCACTTCTTAATGCAGTGGTCGCCAAAAACGTGTTGGCACTTCGGCAACCTTAGAGGGGCCTCGATAATCCCTTCTGGGCTTGCCTGGCCGAAATCGTTGTAGCAGATGACGCAAGCTAGACACAGCGTCAGTATTCATAAACGATAGCACGGGATTTGGTAGCTAGCCAGAAGGAAGTTATGGGCAAGATGAGAAGGGGGATAAAAGGGCTCGGGGAAACCGAATAGCTTGCTTACTTCTCTCCGTCTCGGGGAGACTGTCCGGATCCACACTCTGGAGCTGCTGCACTGCAATCTTCGACGCCACACGTTTGTTAGTTATCTGGCCACGAAGCACTTGACTGGCGCGTAGATGGTCCTCGGCAAACGTGGCTCTAATATGCGCCAGGTTGATCCCGGACCCGTCGATGAGTCGTAGCATTTGCTCTGCTTCGTCTGCAGACGAGCCAAGATCTTCGTCACTATCCTGGTCTGGCTGTGGCGGACGGCGCGCCGACGCGCTTTGGTGACGCCGGTGTGCTGATGAAAGGGCCGCGGGGTCGGAAGCCATGGCTTGCGACCGATATATGCTCCCAGACGTCCCGTCCGCGCGCCTGAAATCCCCAAGGTGGAAGGCCAGCCAGTCTGCGGAACCGGGCTGCGATATGCCCGGAGTTGTGTGAGAGGAACCGGGGCGCTGGGAAATCTGCGGGAAGCGGGTTGATGTCGGGTCCGATGGAACGGCGCTAGGCGGGGTCACTTCTTGAGAGCTCGAAGAGGGTAGCTGGGGGTTCGGGTGCGAGCCGGAAGATAGGCCCTGGTTCGTATTGGGGTTCAGAGACGGTAGCGTGAAACCCTGCCTGCCGGCAGAGGGCGCGTCCCGATCAGCGCTCATCGTGCTTGAGGGAGACTGGGAAGTCGGGGAGCGGCTCGACTGGTTCGTCTGGGCTGCCTGGCCCGGCGTACTCGGCTGGTTTGTTTGGTTCGGGGTGTTGTTCGTTGTGGTCGCTTGATTCGCCTGGCTCTCGCCCGAGTGGTCGTGCCGGATGGTTGGGTTCGAGATTTGGGGGGGTATCGGGAGGACGGCGGAGGTTCGCGCGTAGGAAGTCGGCCGCGGGAATCCAGGAAAGCTGTAAGGAGAATAGGTGTGGTGGTGGGAGTGGGGAATATAGGGCTGGTTTGGACCACCAAGAGGCTGCACAGCTCCAGGCCCGCTGCCTGGGCCTCCGAAATGTGAGTCTACACCTGGAAGCCTGGGGCCGGAGGGTTGCTGTCCTGGCCCGTGGTTTGGGTGGAAAGAGGGTATGGGCCACGACGTGCCGGGATTTTGAGTCTGGAACCACGCGCTGCTAGCCGCGTGCGCGTCGTAGTGAGGGGTATGTTGCGGATAGGACTGCGGGAACGGAAGTGTGGGTGGCGGTTGTATAGGAGGAAGATGTTGAGGTTGCAGGGGCTGGGGCTGTTGCGGCAGAGAAGAAGAAGAAGTAGGAGGGGGAGGGGGGGGTTGGTGTGATTGTTGGGGCTGGTTGTGTTGTTGTTGCTGCTGTTGTTGCTGCTGTTGCTGTGGCTGCTGCTGTCCTTGATGGTGGGGGTGTTGTGGCCCGTGGCTTCCTCCATGCGTGTTTCCAGGCCCGTTCCCGGACGAATAAAATGTCGACCGGTCTGGGTGTGGCAGCTGCGAGAAATGTGGCAGCTGGTGGTGCATGGGATTAATGCCGGCATCCAGTTGCGGATGAGGCAAGCTCGACCCATGGTATGGCTGGTGCTGGTGCTGGCTCCGGACATATGGGCATCCTTGGTGCTGCAGCATTCCGTGGAAGCCCGGGCCCGCACTCGGAGCCGGATCAGGCTGGTGCATCACATAATCCATCGGGTCCACGGCCGCCATCGTGCCTTCCCGTCGGTGCGGGTACGGTGTGAGAGAGAGGCAGAGGTCCGGTCCCCGAATGAGATCCGGAATGCACCTGCTCGGTTGAGTAATGGCGGGTGGTTCTTTCCAAGCACGAGTCCCGATTCTTGTCCTTTCACCCCGATTCAAGGTCCCAAAACCCACAAGTTGTCCTATCAAGCGGTTAAACCTTCCTCCTGTGAACTGTTTCCTCCTATGCACCCTTCACAATGGCGCCTAACTTCGGTTCCAGCTGGCCTTGACGTCCTGTGAACCAATTTCGCCTCAACTAGCTTGTGGCCCTTGATCTCCTACAATCCCGCAATAGTCTGAACTCCTCTTTGATAAAGGGCCTCCTCTTTTCCTCTTTGTCCTTAGATGTACCAGGGAGAAAAACAAGCTGGCCTTGTCTTGTTGTCTCCAAATCCACGAGCTAATATTCGAGTCGATTTAGGTCCCGATAGTTGTCGGTTGCAGACGAGACAAAACTGTTTCGGTTGCTGGAAGTCAAGAGTCGAGACTTGACGTCTGCGAGGGGGAAGCGAGGAGGTCGGATGGCCGGCCGTTGCATCCGCCTGTCAGCCAGGAGCAGGGGGTATGGGCGGGTGACCGTGGTCGGTTGCGGGTTTCCTGATCTGCCGCCGGGGAGATCGAAGCAACCTATGCCGTGACTTTAAAGCAACAGCATTAATAGGACCCAAACGAGCCAAATCGGCGATCCTTTCTCATTTGGCCCCGTCTACTCCTCCAGTTTCGACCTTTCCCTCAGCCGTGTTTGTGCGGTCGGCCGTTGTATGTCGTGGGCACGGTGGACGTGGGGATGGTGGTGGGAAACGGCCGATAAGATAATGAGTGACCGAGGATCTCGCTGGCGTGGGCGTATTACAGGGGTGCAGTGGTCGAGTTCATTCGCTTGGCGTGGGTGCGTAGGAACGGCGATGTGGTGGGGAAGACCTCGAGCGGTCAAGCAGCGAGCGAGCAAAAATGGAGGGGAAGAGGAGAGGGAGCGATCTGGGCGGGCTGGGGATGGCATGGGTTTTGTATCATCGAGGAAACCCAGAGAGCATGGGCAGATGGGTGAGGAAGAGGGAAGGAGGGGAAAGGACCACGCCAGGGAGCGGAGCAAAGCAAGGCGCACTCATCTTGGGAGAATCAAGCCCCGTTCGCACACAGTCAAGTCACCACGCTGCCCGCCGTCTTCGCGCACTACGTACATACGGTTCCGTCTGCCCTCGCCAGCTCGCTTTGGGCCACAGGCCGACAGGGAAGTGCAGCCACTCAGACCTGGGACGCTCCGGGCTAGAAGGGATCCTCACAGGTCTCGCATCACTTACCGGGGGGCACCAGTTGGGTTGGGCCGTGGACGGTGGGCTGCGGCGTCGGTGGAGAATGCAACGAACAAGTTGCGGAACTGCGGCCTTGTGGGATGTGTGTGCGGGTGTGAGAGGTCCAGAGACAGCGTCACTGGTCAGCGCCCAGTCGAAGCAGGGGGTTCAAAGAAGGAAGGGCGAGGAAAAAAGGTATGTAACCCTTGCATTTTCGCTCTCGCTCGGCGTCGGCTGGGGCCAAGGGACCGGAAAATGCGGCCAAAGGAGGGGACAACCACCGAAACGCCACTGCGCTGCCCCCAAGACAACGCGCCCAACCGCCCGCAGGGCGCTGGTCGTTTGCTCAGAGTCGTCCCGTCAGAACACTGGCAAACTGGCTAGAGACACAGGGTAACAACGCAGCGGCCGAGGACCCCTGCTGAAATGCAGCAGACCACCGCTTCCCAGTTTCAGCCGATGCTGGGCCGATGTTGGCATGATGACAGGGTGACGGGGTAACAAGTGGAATGGGAGTTGAGGTTGTGCCCAGACACGACGGAGGGGCGAGGGACGCGGTAATTACCGTATTGGTGCAACCCCCAACTCATTATTAGCTGACAAGCTGGCCCGAGAGCCCAGCCGATCGCTGGTGTTTTGTGCGTCTCGTTCGCTCCCCGTCTCCCCGGTCCAAGCGGCCGGCCGGGAAACGATAACTGATTTATTAGAGATCAGAAAGCTTTCATTCTCCAATGCGAGTCTTGCTCAAACGAGGAGAGGGGCTGGGCCTGGAGAAGAGGAAAAAAAGGATCGGGCGTGTTAAGGTCCCGACTGAAGCGCAGTTGCCCGAAGCAGCTTGGGCGCTCGTCCGTTTTCGCCGAGCGCCCGCCTCATCAATGTCGAGAATCGGGTTGCTTTTCCTTTGGGCTTCGCTTCACAACCGCTGACCTATGGTCGCAGGAACGTGCCACTTGCCAGCTCTCGATGTTGGTCGGACCCAGGGTCACCCGTCGGATTGGACACCTGCCGTGCGCGCTGGCCGCGAGGGGAAGGGCACGCCTATAAAAGAACCGGGGTGCAACAGGCATTTTACGCCTTTGTGTCTGAGAGCAGCAACCCGATAGTGGGGGGACGGAAAGGTGTTTTAACCCGCTACTGTGAGGTGGCGCCCCTGGCCGGCAGTCCCGTGGCTGCGACGGCTGGAACGGCGGGAAAAAAGGATAACCGCTTGAGAGAGGAGAGAGAGAGAGAGAGAAAAGATACAGACGGTGAGAAATGCTCGCTTCCGAGGTTCCGGGTGTCTGCGGCAACGGCATCCACCGAGTTCCGCCCTGTCATGCTCGAACGCTCTTGATTCGGACACCTACTAACGACAGCCTTAACCTTCGTTAATACACAGTCAGAAACTTGAGACGGCGTGGGATACAATCCAGCGGCGAATGTGTGGATGGCTCGACGGGTCACACGAATGGGGGCGGCGGGGGACTTTTTGAACCGAATCATCAAAATGGCCTGGCGTGCTTCAACGACAAGGGGAGGGCAAAACGGGCGCAACGCTGGTCGGTCGGACCTGTGCTGGCGATCCCGTCGTTTTGTGCTTTGCCGAGTGTTCCGTTCCATGGTTCCCTTTCATTGAACATGCCAATGCCCAACCGAGGCAAGGAATAAAACGGAAGAGAAGTCCCAAATTTAGTCAGATTGAAATCGCCAAACCACAAACACCAAAACTTTCGAAACCAACCTGGAACTTGTGGATAAAAGTGACGAATGCTGACCGCACCATGCCTCGGTGTACTGATACGTAAGGACGGTCGGTATCTTACACAGGCAAGTCCAGGTTGGGCAGGTGGGGTTAAGCCTACGAGCTGCCAGGCGCTTTCCCTCGCCCTAAACTTCAGTTCACCCCAGCGCACCTTCCCTCGCGCTCTCAACGCCCCAAACGGAAGTTCCCATCCAGGATAATAACTCAAGTCAGAGGGTCCACCGCCCGTCCGCGGGTGATGTATCACGCACGTCGCCGAACTCCCCCGAAACTGCAAGTTGGCTTCGCACAGCGCCAACATGTCTCGTATCTCCTGGCTCCCGACCTGCTGCGTCCGTCAAAAGGAAAACGACCGCAGTCACAGTGGCACAATCACGCACCGGTGTTATCGGCCCCATTATCCCGAAACCCAACACTGCCTCCAGTCCACAGGCCAAGTCGGAGACTGGACACAGTAATAATTCTATATTCGGAACACAGTACCTTAAACGACCTCAAGCGCCCAACCTCTGTCGGTTTCCATTCTTCACACGGCACCAACACCAAACGCTTCATGTTGGTCCGCCGCTTCAGCACCCAACGACCGCCGAACCGCCTTGCCGCCTAAGCCCGCGTATGGGAGTCTCTATCGCCGTCGACCCTTGGAGAGCGCGGAGCCTGCGGGGTTCTCTCGTCAGTTCCGCCTGGTCGATGCTGATCAACGCCTATCAGCGGCGTGTTTCATTCCACTTAAGGACACCTGCCGATGTCGGGTACCGGTCTTGAACTAAATTCAAGAACTAATCAATTCGTTTACTGCAGGGCCAAACGATCTCATAGGGCTGTTTTACTCAGTCTTTTGTCAATTTCCTTCTACGTTTCTTCGGCTTCGCCCCCGATGTTGTTTCACAAGCGGCTGCTTTCAGCATGCCAGATGGCATCTTCCCAAGCCAGTCTTGATCCCTCTTGCTTGACAAACGCAGACACAGTATGGCGAGTGTCCTGGAGAAGCTGCCCCTTGCTTGCGCTCGTGGCTGACATGGGTTACCCATGCGATTAGGACTTCGATAATTGGCTGTTTGCAAAGCCAAGGCCGCGTCAGGCTTCCTGATTCGTTTAAGGCACTTCACACCCCAGTGCTGATCGCCAACCCCTGCCTTCTGGACGAAGTGCCCTTCTCTTATCGACATCGAAATCGTATTCTTTGATGACGACGAAAGTTATCCAGTTCCATAGTCTCGATTCGAGCAAGCTGGCAGTGGCAACGAAAGTGGGAAGGTTACCGAAGTTTCCGTATCACTGGCTTGCTGGTGACAGCCAAATTCCCGGCCCTCTTCCCACTGCGGTTACCGAAAGCCCCAAACCCTCCGACAAAAGCGAGTAGTGCTGTGCCGGTGTTTGATGCTCACCCGAAGTTACCCCTCCGCGACCCAACTCCGCAGCCCCTCTCGCCGGTTTTAATGGGCCTAGAACCCAGCTCCCTGCGAGACGGAAGTTCTCAGAGCCTAGACAGCCCAGACAGCCCAGACAACCAAGCCTTCAAATCAGTGGCGCCATTGGCGAACCGAATGACCAGCCTGCAGCAGATGACTTGATCATGGCTGCGTCGAACGCCGACTCTGTTGGTTCGGCTGCCTGCCTCGATCGAACCAGCCTAGCATCGTACTGGCCCTCCAGCTTCCATGAACGGCAATCAAGCGCCAATTTCACCCAAGTGCGGGCAGAGGGTCTCGTTGGAGCCAAGTGTCCACCTCACTCATTACCCGCCTTGCCCGCTCACGCCGCCTCAACAACCCCTCGCCAGCCACGGACTGAGCAGAGCCGCTGCGAGCAAAACCCATCTCCGCTTGCACGCTTTTGGTGGGCACCGCAGGCATGTTTGAACGAACACGCATCCCGGGCCATGAAGGCCGGTCAGGCGAAAATCAATCCCGCCAAAGAGAGATTATGCCGACGTCGGGATCCAGGCGTGAAAAAGCCGTCATCCATGGCTGGGAACGGAAAAGAACAACCGACACCGTTTGCTCTGCTTAGAATCTTTTCATTGCTTTTTTTGGACCGTTTCCCGACGTCGCACCACCCCCACCCGCTTCCACACCACGGCCCTGCAAACAGCCCCAGCCAAAAAGTTATATATCACACCCGAAGCGCCCTTTGTGTTCCAGCATGCTCGCGGAGCCCCGAGCCAGCCCCGATCCCGCGCGACTTGTTGCATATGCTTGCCACCATCAAACACCCGCTGACCGCATCCCCGCTCGACGCCAGGCTGGAGCCTATCTCCGGGAGCAAGAATCCATTACCCGACGAAAAAGCTCGGAGGCTGACCGGAACATCCGGGGATGAAGAAGTAGCCTTGCTTACGACAAAAACTCGTCTTGGGAGGGCTTGGGAGGCGGGCGTTTGACAAACCAGGCTAAACTTACTTAATTACTGATCTCCTCTCAACATGGTTGCAGCTCCCGGCCGTTTCTCCCGACCGCCATCGTCGATGGTCCCGAGCTCCAACCAAAAACCTGACGAAAGCTGACCCGCAAGCAGCGACATGACGCAAGTACGCCCGCATCAACGCCACAAAACGGGCCCCCAACTTGGATCCAGAACATTGAGATCCTAAGCCTGATTCACCACTTTGCAAACGGCCGTTGACCGTCGTATCCTAAAAAACAAAAAAGGCGTGCATATGAAACAAACTCGTTTCTTTTTCTTTCGCATTTTCAGTATCCTGTTTCCTTCCATTCTTACCTTTTTTGTAGCAGCAGCTGGCCGAGGGCCCGGTAATCCTGGCAAACTAACCATCAAGGTCTTCGGGACGCGGGGCCGGCCGACTTTCCCAAAACGGGCCCGTCCCCAGCGCCGGACTTCCGGGTACAAGTGGAGCCCGGTGAGCCCCCGCTGTGCTGACCCCCGAACATGCCCCGGAGCCGAATCAATTACTCAGGTACTTGGTCACCGCATCTGCACGGCGATGACAATTGGTAGCGATCATTTAATGAGGTAAGGCCCGTTGTCATTTATTTTGCCTTCGGGTAATATTCAGAAGCCGAAGCCTCGGTGAGTAAGTAAGCGAGTGAATGAGCAGGTGAGTGGGTAAGTGAGTGAGTCAATGACAGCGGAACTCTGTGAGAGAATGAATACCCCAAAAAGAGTCATGATAAGTCATGCGTTCCAAGTCATGCGTCATCGCCAACAAAAACTAAAGAGGGGAATCAAAACATAATTATCCACACACGCATACATACACAGACACACACAGAAAGATAGCCATAGCTGACCGATCGGCCCGCGTCATGAACTCATGAACCGAAAAATGCCAAATGCCAAAATCAGACACGTAGTCAGTCAGTCAGTCAGTCCCGGTTCCATCAGGCCGCGCTGCCGATGGGGTGGTAACACCATCGATCAACCTGTCAAGCTGTCACGCCTGGCTTGCCTGGCCACTTGCACTCGCTTGCGTTATGGAGCGGGGTGAGGCAGGCAAGGCGGGGCAGTTTGAACCAGCTCTCGCCTTGTCGCCTCTTGCTTTCGCACTCTTTCGCCTGATTGGGAATTTGGCGTGTTTTGGCTTTGGGGAAGTTGATTAGAATGGAGAGGAGGTGTTGAGATTTAGGGAAGAGAGGCTGGGAGGTGTTATAACGTTGTTATGACGCCTAGACTACTATGTAGACAACGGTTTGCCTACCTGACTTATGGATAGAAAGGGCTAATTATTTATTGGCTGTGTGGAGTGTGGAGACAGTGCTGATTGTTGGTTACTCCGTCCTTGAAGTGTGCTCGAGATTTATCTTCCTGTTTACTCTAACTGCGGGAAAACGCGGGAAGTTGATAAGATGATCGGATGATGTAGAGATTTCCAATACGCAATAACAAATTAACTTGTCTACCTTCCTTTCTCCATGCTTTAATCAGGCTCTAGAAGATGCTGCGTTGATGATCACAAGTAACGAAACTGGCTGGGTGCCTTTGGGTTTCGGTTGAGGGGTTGCAAGAGAGCTGTTAGATGACTTGGGTGGTCAATATATGTAGCTAAGCAGATCCATGAGACAGCTCTTCACAGTGAACAATCACATATAGAAGTTAATGTTATTCATCACCGGGTTCAACGTGGCATGACCTAAAGATCTAAACACTCCGAGCTCTGGTGAGGCAGGTCTAAGCAGCGTAACGAGTTATCTCGAGACGAGGTTCTCTTAACAGCGCTGGGATGTTGAAAAATGCTCAAATACATTATCCCAACCCATCTTCATTGCATTCTTTATGACTTTGCCCCTCCCCCCGTCTCTCTATCTCTCTTTTCCCCTTCCCTTCCCCCCACGTTGTGCCTAGCTCCGAGTTCCCCCCTTCTCCCCTTTTCTCAAACCACACACTCACCGCATAGAATAACATACTAAGAACACCTCCTCCAGGAATACTAACCCCTCAAAACAACAGCAACAACAACAACAACAACAACCACCCCACCCCCCTGTCAATCCAACTCAGTTCGACCTATCAAGGACTCCACCATCAATCCTCCAAGGCACACACCCTGAGTAGCCCGACCGGACTTGGTGTCCAGCCTTTCAAGCACCTCTTTCTCCACGCTCCAACACACACGCACATACAAACGCCATAAAACAACGAAATAAACGGCTGGTTGGCTGAGCACGCTACACACACTGATGGTATTCGCCGTGAGAATAGTAATGTACTTGTCACCGAAATGTGTGTGGAAGTGGCTCTCAAATTGTATCTTATGCCCGTTCAATTACTTCTAGATGTAATTTCTTGCATTCGAACCTGAAGGGATTATGTCTACCTATCACAGTTCAAACAAGTGGTTTGCTAATTTGCTTTGACAAAAACTGAACCTCTTTTGTCTGTCATCGTCTTATCAATTCCTTAAAACAACCGAATAGTCTCAGGCCCCCCTGAAGTGCACTAGGTTGGTAACGTTAACGAGCGAGTGAGCGAGCGAATCAGCCAAGTACAAATTCCCATTTTTTTCTCTCACTCTTGTTTTCTGGAAATTTTCTGTATTTGAGTGCACTTATCCATCCCGTACCTCACTCTTCTTCCCTTCCCTAATCCCCTTCCCCTTCCAACGACCAAAACAGATCCCTTGTTTGTCTCTTCCCCCATGTCCACGACCAAAACAAAAGCCAACCGACAAGCAGCGGTCTCCTCGACTAAAGATGTTCCCAGCACACTTACACTCTGTTTCTGCATCTCAGCATCGAAACAAGAGTTCAAAATTTTAGTTACAGGTCCCATTTACAATGCACACAACACACCCACACACCTACATGTACAAACAAGGAGGATGAATACATGGCACCAGAGACTTTCGCAGGTATGGCCTAGACGCCGGTGGTACTTCCGCATCACTCCCTTAATCCCGTCCCGTAGGACACTCACACACACACGATTCCGTCCACTTAGGCGCACCCCCATGAAACGGTAATGGTTCATAAATACTTCTCCATTCTCACCATGCCTACTACCATGCCATGCATGTACACTAACAAACAAATCAGTCCGCCCGCTCCTGACTGGGCCCAGGCTCCTCAGCCTTTTCTCAACCCTCCCATCACCCCCCCAACCATAACCTCCCCAAAGCATACCCCCCTACCTACAAAGGTATCTACACCCCTATTTCTTAAGCCTATACTTCCCCCCCACAATCTCCATCTCCCCCCCAGCAACCTTCTCCCCCAAAAACTCCTGCAGCTCATCATTACTCCAGGGAAACCCCTCCGGAATCAACATCTTCATCATCATGGCCACCTGGAACAGCGGCATGCTCGCGCTCGCATTCGTCAGCATCCCCTGGATATACCGCCAGTACATCTCGCGGCGTTCGCGTTCTTTGGCCGATAGTCCGTCTCCTTGTTTTGTAGTCCCTGCAGCAGACTCATCGGCAGTCTCAGCGTCCATAGGCCGGTTACCATCTCCGTCATCGTCGCCGGCGGGTTGGTCTGTCGTGGAAGAGGTGGGTTCGTGGAGGGTTTCGGCGACGACGTAGACATTGCCGTGAGCACCACCCACGCGGCGGAGCACGCCCTTGCCGACCCAGAACTGCAACGCAGCCTGGATAAGATCCTCATCCATCTGCAGCTGCGCATACAAGTCATCGAGATCCTTCCGCATCGGCTCATCGCTCTCGTCACCCCCCTGGAAAGCATGGACAACAGTCGCTTCCAGCGTAGTGCAATCCACAGTAACCGTGCGATCCTTCAACTCAATCTCCACCCTCGCCTTGCCCATGTGGTTCAACCACGTCAACGTCCGCCTTGACTTGAGCGCCTCATACCCAGCCTCGTACCGTGTCTGCTGATCCAGTACTTCCTGCGGGAGAAGGAAATGCTCCCGGTCCAAGCCCGGCCAAAACAACCGGCTCAGGATCCTCGCGTGATACTCCATGCCCCCCGTATCCCGGCCCACAAGCTCCTTCATGCCCTCCTCCTCCCGCGTGATGAATTCGTCCATCTTCCTAGAATAGATCACGTCCATGACCATGACGTCGCAGGCCTGTAAGCTCGCCTCGCCAAACCGCCGCTTAAGCAGGTTAAGCACTCGCAGCTCCTGATCGAACTGCTCTGTCGTCCCGCCTGCGAGCAACCGATCGGCCATGACGGTTGAGAATTCCTTGATGAACACGTCCTCGCTCCCGAGCGCCGAGATCAGCGTGCCGATGACGTCCTCGCTGCGCTTGGGGCGTTTGTAGTTGGCGCCCGCGTCGATGGGGTCGGGAAGCCAGGAGAGGTCTTGCCAGTCTAGGTCTCCGTCCTCGGACGCCATAGCTGCAGCGCGGCGGGATTGTGTCGAAGGGTCATTATTGAGAAGGAGGGCGAGTTCGACGAGTTTCGCGGGGGCTGCGTAGCGGGGTGGCTTAGAAGAGGGTGTCCCTGCTCCCGTCGGTGTCCCTGTTGGTGTAGACGTGATATGAGAAGGCGTGGCTTCCGTTCCGGGCGTCACGACTGGTGTTCTCTCGGCACGCGAGGTCCGATTCGACGGACCAGGCGTCGTAAAAGGGTCAACATCCCTCCTTTGGTGCTTCACCTGACCCCCCTCACCTCGCTTCGACTGCTGTCCACGTTGCCGCTTCCACGCATCTTTAGCCTTCCTCGCTGCACGCATCTCCTCATGACTGGCGAGCAGACCCGCAACAACAACACGCACAGCATCCTCGCGCTGGCAAAGATACAACCGCAGATCCGACTCGACACGACTTAACAACACCTTGCTGGGGTCAAGCGCGTGCAGCGTCCGGATAATAGAGATGTACGTCTGCAGAATCTGGAGAGTACTACAACCAGGATGCAACAGCCGGGTGCGTAGGGCCCGCGAGAAGCTATCCGTCAGTTGTTTCCGTCGAGCAGCGGTAGTAAGAGTAGCTTTCAAGTCATCTAACGCCGGTCGTGATGCCGGCCAAGCCAGGACGATATCAAACAACTCTTGAATCCGCAATACCGCCAAACGACCCTGGGCTAGGGACTGGTACATCTTGAGGTCTGCTAGTGTTACTGGCAACGGCCCTGGCCCCATGGGGTTCTCCGAGGCACAACTCAAGACCTCCGACGTCAACCGGGCGAAGTGGTTCTCGACCCAGTCGTTCAAAGCTACAAGGCACGGCGAGAGAGTAGGCAACGACACGTTGCGTGATACGGAATCCATCGCAGCCGAGAACGAGCGAGGGTCCGACGCGGACCATAAACCGCCATATGCCCCATCAACAAAGTCGGACATCAGCGTGCCCATGGCCTCCGCGAACAGAGCCTGGAACTGCTCGCCTGTAAGCCCAACATTATGCAGCTGCTGGACAAGCTCCAGCAGCTGTCCTCTCGCAGCCTGCGCTTTGATATCGTCGGGCCCTGGTGGCGCGGGACGAGCCGGTTGTGCTTCTGTCCCGTCATGAACTAAGGCCCCCAGTATAGTCCCCGCCAAACGTGCCAGGACAGCTCGTAGAGAGGGCACCAGTCCTTCGAACGCTGACGCGCTCACAAGGGCATGGAGATCTTTTCGGAAGCGGGAATTCAATAGTTCAGCATCTTTGGCTGCATCGGGGACAGCTTCAGCAAGGCGGGCAAACCCAGACAACAGCTGATTTAGCCCGTGAAAATAGAGACGCAGCGCAGCCTCAAGCGTGCGTATACTGCTCACGACAACCACCAGATGCCGTTCATACGGATCTCTCTTGGCCTTTCCTTTTCTTTTCTCCTCCCTACTTGGCCTTCCCCCATCAGGATCATCATCCTCATCTTCTTCTCCGCCCTCACCACTGCCAACAGCCGCAGCTTCATCAAAACACCCCTTTAGGAGAGGTATCACGTGTTGAGCAAAATGTCGTCGTGTCTGGAGCGCATGCCAAGCCACCACATCCCCCGTGCGTGTGGCTTGGGGCAGCATGGATCCGGCGCTTGCCAGGAGGGCAAAGGCGGAATGGAAATCGGCGTCACTAACACTGCCCCCTTCAATGTTGCTGCCTGTGCCAAGACCTGAACCCGACTCCAATTCTGAGCCCGGTCCTGGGCCCAACCCCAAGCCAGAGCCCGATGAGGCGGTAGCGGCCCGGGCTCCATCCCGATTCCGGTCTCGCCTCCTCGATGTGGTCGAGCGCGGCGCTTGCTGCTGCTGCTGGTGATGTGGTCGCTGCTGGGGTTGGTGCTGCGTGTCGGTCACACCAAACACTCCAGTGCCGCCGCCCTCGGAAGACACCCCGAAGGATTCGTTTGCCGTGGCAGATGAGGGGAGGGCGATCCGAGCGGTTACGATCTGCCAAGCTCGATTGTATGCCGCTTGATGGTCGCCTCCCACATCGGTGATGGGATGAAATGGTGGCTGTGCTGGGGTCTGAGTGTGGAGAGTCTGCTCCTCAGGCGCATGTTGGTGATACTGGCCATAGCTTTCCGAGTGATACTGCTGGCCAGACAAAGACGCCGCTGGCCCTCTGAATGGGTGTCCTGGCCCTGACAAGACGCCGCCGGGTGTTGTCTGGGGCGTAGATCGGGCAGGATCCGTCTGGAAGACAGACTCAAAGACCCGCCGCTGACGGCCCCGCCATTGTGATGATACTGCAACCGGCATCCTCGAACACACCCTCCTCTTGTTGCAAGCTCGCCAACCAAATTACGGGCTCTAGAGGGGCGGCCCAACTGAGCCGTCAAATCCCAGCTGAGAACTGCTGCAGCGAGGCGGGCTAGGCGCGTGGTGACACTGGTGAAGCACAATATCAGGCTCTGTGTCCGTCACCAGCCGCCGTGACAACAGACGCAACTGCAAGGGGCCTCCAATAAGGTAGCACAGAGCACCCCAAACCCTTCTTCCCGCCCGTAGAAGCACCAGCCTTCTTTCTCCCAGCGTGGGCCGCAGATTCGGCCTCACACAGATCCGCAACTACCGGGTGGCGTGGCCTTCTGAGTGGCCGCTCTACACCTTAACCAGGTCCGGCTAAGCCAAACCCAACCCGGCCCGAAACGCTGACCCAACAAGCAAAGACGAAATCGATTTCGATCGATGGAAACGAGAGAAAATTCCCGTCAAACAGCGGGCGGCTGGAACGGTGGCCCAATATGACGGCCACGGTACCGAGCCACGGGAATTACACGTGGTGAGCGTGGCGTCTGTGTCTCCTATGGCCGCGCACTTCTTGGCCCCGCTTCGCTTGTGTCCGTTTGCTGTTGGTCGTTTGTCGGTAGAAAAATCCCCTCTCCCTCGCCTAGTAAGTGGGTCGTCGACTGGCCTCAGCACGCAGAACGGCTAGATTTGCCGCCGCACCAAGGTATTCCGAATTCAGAGTTGCTGCCGAGGACAGGGTGTGGATGTACTGTACACAGTCGAGTAGAAGGGCGAGATTGCCTTCTTGGCCCCCACTGAAACAGTACAAGTTGCAAGGGGTGGGAAAGCTTGTGGGTGGGCAAGGACTGGTGAGATTTGTCACCAGAAACAGCCGGCGACAGGTAAGCGTTGCGTACGCGGATGCGCGCCAGTGCGTCTGTGGGTGTGGGCGTGTTTGTGGTGTGCGTGAGCAGGTGCTGTGAAGGGGTGCGCTAGCTCAGAACGTAAGTGACACGTCCCTGCGGCGAGCCCAAAGTGGTGGAGGGCGGGGAAGGGTGGTTAGAGGGGTCTCGAGGACACCAATGTTTCGCGTGCTGGTCAGCGGCGTATAATTTTTCCCGGAATCCTTCGGCGTGACCGTGGAAACCGGAACGTCGTTTGAGTGCCGGTCTGCGATGAGGTGGGTTGGTGTGACTCGCACCTACGTCTCCTGCGTCTGGGTTGGATGGATGCCGTTGCTGCACAGAAGCCGAAGAAGGTGGGAAGAGGGGCCAGACCGGGGCCCTTGCACTCGTGCTGGAATCAAGGGGGGAAATTCCATGGAATTTTCGATGGCGTCTCCTGCGGGTTGGTCGAAGCGATGGAGGGGAGCGAGGGGTCCTTCTCGATCGGCAGAGTCACCTGCAGGAGTGCGATAACTGGGCGGGCAAGATGTGTGGTCGTCGTGGTCGCCGACTGGGTAGTCAAAGGCAGTTACGACCCTGGGGTTTGTGGCCATGGACTTGTGGCATCCAATCTGTTGTTGAGCGCGCCTGCTGTGTTGCACTGGTCGCGCGGTCCCTGCGCGTTAGGCGCCGGAAGGATCAAAAGGTGCACGTGGAAGCGGCCAATGGGAGCGGCCAACCTGTGCAACTCGAATGGAAAGAACGCGGGATGGAGGGTCCGTGGTGCGCATTCCCCCTGCAACGCGCTTGTTGAGTGAAATGACAGCGTTGCAAGAGAGACGCAATCGACCTAGCCGCGGTAACGCGCGCTAGCGGCGCGTGAAATGAATGCACGAATCCTTCCGAGACGTCCGAATCATATGCGACCCGATACTGCGGTAGACTTTCTATGCATTTACCATAAAGCCTCAACAGATGCATATCCCCATCGAGGTCTCAACCTGGGACAATCCATGAACCGAATTCCAAATCCCCCCAATCCACAAATCCATACATTCTCTTCAACCCTGCCCCTTCTCCCCTCAAACCACGACAAAAGCAGTCAAGTGGGACATGAAGCCCTGCCGCCAAGTGTGCACTTACGGAGACACCTGCAATCTTTAACTATTTTCCTTCAATTCTCAAGAGCCTTCAGCATACACTATGAGAACGCTCGGCTGCGTGGCCCAATTATTCCCGAGCGCATTCCCGCACAACGGCCCCAGGGCTTCCACCCTCGGGATCCCCGCCCCTCATCAACGACGGTACACTAGCATGCTTTTTCCACTACGACGGACATCGGAACTCATGAGTCCCGGTGCGGATTCGTCAGCAGTCCCGGCGATAACGTTACATCTTTTTACTAGTATCCCTTCCGCACCAATGGGTTTTCTCTTTGTGGTAACTCGATCGTTGAGCTAATGGCCGCGGAGTCCTTGTGGGCCGTCGAAGAGCAAGCAAGTCCTTGATTCAGGGACAGGCTATCCTAGCTTCCCGAGAGAGAGGAGAGTGGAGTAAAGGGGGGGGTGGGCGACGGGGAGGTGTGCGCTGAGACGGCACAAGAAAGCGAAGCCGCCTGGCAGACAGACGGGAAGCCCCAAAGTCTGTTCATCCTTCCCAGCCCGTGGTGAGAAAGATCTCTTCTCACTACGCTATTTCCCCCCCGCCGCGCCCGTTTCAACCTGTCCTTTTTTGGAAGTGCAAAGCCTTGTTCTGTTTCTCACCGAACCCCAAAACACGGGGTTGTTCGTTCGTTTTCGCTTCCATACGCGCGTGTCTGGTCTTCTCAACCCCGGACTCTCTCGGTAGCTCCGAGCGATACACGAGTCTACACTACGACAAGACGGGCCCGGAGTTCATCAGTTATTTGTCAGTCGTCGTCACTCTTTACTAGAGGCGGACATATTGTCCAAAAACCTGGCTCGGTCGGGGCCGGAACCCCAATTTGCGAATTGGAGACAAGCGGACGCCGCTCCGCAGAACCCTGTCAGCCCGTGGTCCTGGTTTTTGCCGGATTACCCTTCCCGGCAACCCAAGCACCCCCTGGCCCTGACTCCAGCTCCATGGCGTATCTGCCCCGAGATTTCCTCGGACTCAAACACCCCAAACGCGGCCTTGGCTCGGCAACTTAACGTTATATAATATTTTTGTAACTTCATGACATGATGTGATAATGGGGTATCTGTGCCGTGCCAAGGAAACGTGCCATTCTCGGGTCCTCTCCGGGGGTTTTTGGTCCCTTATACTGTGTATCTATTAGGTGTTGCTGCTACAAAGCAATTGGTAACAAGTGTTAGCTTCGGAGACGAGAGATCTTGAACAAGATATCCAAAAATCCCTCGCATACCGGCCGCGTCACTCAGCTACCTCATTTGAGTTGTATCGGGCTATCCAACCGTCAAACCCCCAAATTCAAGCACTGTGCAGCACGCAAGAAATCCACGAACACCAAAACCAACCACGTGCCGATGAAGCTTGCGGCACAGACCAAGGGACTCTTTCGCGACCAACCACCGAAAGCCAAAAACGGACGTCTTTTCCGCCAATCACCCCGTCGCTTCACGGGCCGGATTGGGCCTTTACCGGCCTTTCTGCTGTCAAAAAACGCCCGTCTGCGGCGTCAAGCCTTCCAGAAGGAAAACAAAAAACAGAAGTCTCAACAAGGCGAGACCCCCGTTACTACCCCGCCATCGGTGATGTGTTTCAGATTGTAGTGTGCGGCCCAGCGACACCCGAAACTTATCATGCTCCGTGTGTTGTATCCGTAGTCGGGGAAGCTCTTACACCAACTTGAGGCTGTGCACTTCTCGCTAGTCTCTCCCTGTTTGTGGTCTTTTTTTCCGTTTGGTCAATGTCGCGGTGAGAGAGAAGAGGTCTTGTGTTGTTGTTGTGAAGTTCGAGGTTCGATTGTGGCTGCGCAATGCCCCACGACCGGGGTCAATTCTTGCTGCCTATATAAAAATATGCCCAACCCCAGTTTGACCCGTTTGACCCCAACCTCTCCCATCGTCTTGATTTCCCCGGAGTTAAAATCTCCTTTCCGTTTCGGCCGAACACCCGGGGCGATGTTTGCCCCCTCGCCCGGTGTCTGTCATGTTTTGTTCCGTGCCGTCACGGCCGGTTGAAGTGGGGTTTGTGCGGCCGCTCACAGCCGGGGGTGCCCGGCCTGGCCGCCATCAAATGCTGTTTTTTCCGTCATGGCAAAGCTATTTTCGGCTCCTGTCAGTGGTGCTTGCGGGAATTGTGGGAATAATTCTGGCCGATAATTACAATTGGTGCTTCGTTGGCGGCGACATCACCAACACCATCGAGACTGGCAAACTGCGCAGCATTACCTAAGCCCATTTGTTTTACAAAGTACATGCCCAGAAACGGAATGAGTGCGACACGCACCGTAGCCGTAGCTGTTGGGTCTTTGTGAAAGTGAGGCGAAGAGTCCGAACATGGAGGTCCATCTTTAGGACAACAGTTAATGTTGAAGGACTCTCGGACGTGTGTAACAAGTCTGGTCGTTCCCTTTCCAATCACACAAGGCGTTGCTGGGAAGCGAGCAGCGGCACGCCTTGCCCGTTCGACTGTCTTGCACCCAGGGCCGTGCGCCGGGGACAAAGTCGGCCCCTGCATGGGTCCATCGATCCGGCTCCGTGGGAGTGGACGAACCTCGACCGGGGAGGGGTGACCCCAGCCAGAAGTTGGGGGTGGACCAACCACAAACCAGGGCAGCCAAGCGAACTTGTTTCCTCGTCTCTTCGTCGTCCTCTGTCAGACCATTTGACCATCAGGACGCCAACAACGAACATAATCCAAGCCTCTTGAGCTTAGTTCTGCAGTTGATGTGTAGATGTCATATCCGTGCCCAGATATACAAGCCGGAAAACCCTTCCCAGTCAAGTTTGGCCCGCAACGGCTACCCCTGCCGGTCATAGAGGCCTGGTCGAATGAGATTGGCGACTAGAATGCCGGGGGAAGCCGTAGCGGCCCGGCGGGTTACCCTCCGGAAGATTGCCCGAGCGCGACCGGGAGGCCCGGAATGGAGGTATCCCCGACGGTGACCAGTCTCTCCGAAGCCGGGCGGAAAAACCACGAGCAAGAAAACAAGAATAATTGTCGACCAGCCGCTTACGTGATGGGTCGATGGTTTTTGACACTGAGATAGTTGAATCGAAAGAGTTCTCAAGACCCTGATCGCGCACACCATGCTTCGTCCATGTTTCAAGGATGAACCATCATAGGCTAGGCTGTGCTCTCCCTTTGCGGCCCCGGCGAGCGACAACCCCGTTGCGGCGCCCAAGATCACAAGCTCACCGACACGGCGCCGGCCCAGCGGTTTGCGTTTGGCTCATTTGTTGATCGCAAATTCTCTCGTGCCCGAGGTGACATCGGTTCAAATCGGCTACACTCAACTGAAGAGACCCACACTAGAAAGCGAGTCTCCATCGGTGATTTCCTGTAGCGGGAAGTGGGGGCGGGCCTTGCTGTCTTACTATTTCCAGCGAGGCTGTGTTCGTGGGAGCGCGGCCAACCGACTTGCTCGAGCCTTTAAAGACCCGCGAAATGAAGCAGATTGTTTTGAAACAGATTTCCTGGGGTTTTCGTGGCGGATTCAGTCAACAGCATTCTCTCAATCCCCATTGGTCGCTATAACTTCTCCCAACCGTGCGGCTCCTCATGAGCCTCACTCGACATCAGAACATGGGGCGGGCGCTCTCTTGAACCTTCCCGTTGTCGACATCGGGCCCCATACCATCGTGAACAAACTCTTTCGGTTCGCTACCCCCCTGCCTTTGTCACAGGATCACGGATGCACCCCTCGATACGGCAGTTCTGGGCTATGCCGGTTCACCCAAAATAGACCATGTCGTGAATCTCGAGATCATACTGGGCGTTAAGATGCCGGGGTTAGAATGGCGCCGTGTCGAAGATCCTCGTTACTTGGACGTCAACAATTCAGCCAATTCCAAAGCAAACTTACTTCGGTACTCCGTATCCGTACCGCCTCTCGTGTATCGATGGTTGTTGCCGGGATGCTGCTGTGGTTGGGTTTCCCGGGTCGGGATTCCATGTGGCTCGGCCAAGACATCTAGCGATTCTCTCATAGCACACACCACACCCATGGAGCTGAGCCGGCCGTGCGAATAGCCGGCCGGGAAGCAGGATTACCTGTATTCGCTGGAGGTCCAAAGTAATTTCAATATCTCGCAGCGGTTGCTGGTGTGGACAAGTAGGATAGGTGGGTTATTGATGGCCGCATTTGTTGGCCGCCCATGCATGCTAAGCGCTGGGGCACCTGGATACAATCTGAAAAATGAAGACGACTGCTCCAATAGGGGTCTGGATAGCCATGATCCCCTTCAACTTGCAGTTCTAGCACCTTTCTGCATACGCACTGCGTCTGCAACATGCGTCTTGTACCGCGAATGAGATGAAGGTCTTTGGTCGCAGGCTCGCAGCAGCGGGCGTGTTGGGCCAACAGCGAGGTGGCATTCTCCCGGTCTGGTGGGATGGCGGTCGGCAATGGTCGGTAATTGGGCAGGTCTTGCGTTCTTTTCCATGGTGTGTTGGCGGGCTGCTGTCGTGTTGGTGCAGAACTTAACCGCTTCGTCCCGGGCGAAGGTCATCTGGAAGGGCCCGTCCGATATGATACGGATTCGGTTACGTGGCCAAAAACCTCGAAAGAGCTTGAGCATACGCTACTACCGTAGGTAAGACTGTCTTGATGGCTCTTGCCGGTTGTCGTATTCTCGAAAGGCAGGAGCTACTAAGGCTGCACGGGGTCAAATTTTCACAGGTCCCTGCACGTAACTCGTAATTTGGAGCGTTCTATTTCACCTTTGAGGTGTAATGTAATAACTTGGTAGCAATACCATGGTAGGTTTATCCCATCCTGCCATTTCCGCCCAGCCGTGCCCAGTCATGACGCTCTGATATAAGCGAGAAACAAAAAGTGAAAAACGAAGGACATTTTCGCCTTGATATGTTCCCTGTACCTGGTATTTCCCATTCCCTTCCTGATGTGAATCCCAATCAAAAAACCCAGCCCCAGTTTCCCCCGAGGTCTAGTAACAAAAACCCCAAGCAAAATAAATACATCTCCCCCACTGAACGAAAGACAGCCTGGTGGCTAAAAAATAATTGCCCTGTCGAAAAATTTATACATCCCCAAAAAAGAATACGGAAGTTGAGATGGTCGAGTAATTGAAGAAAGCGCGAAGTGAAGAGGGGGCGCTGAGGCGGTAATGATGATTTATCTGCCTCTCGAATCGCCGGTGGGTGAGGAGGGGACATCGGACCTGCTGGGACCAAGTCGAGATCGTTTAGTTGGAGCCCTTCTTCTTGCACTTGTCGTGGAGTAAGTGGCCGTTCCTAGCCGTCGTTCGTGTGAATTCGGCCCCACAGTTGGGACATGTCGCCTTCGCCGCTTGCCCCGACTTCTCCCGTTGATGCCTGAGAAGGTTGCTGAAGGTCGAGAACTGCCTCCCGTTGCACCCGTGCTCCCAGCATTGCGGCTTCGGCCGGCTGTGCACCACCCGAACCTGTCCATTGGCGTCTGGGCCCGGTGGAATGACGGGAGGAACAGGGTACATGCCCATACTAGGATCTTGTACAAGGGGCCTGCTGCTCATCTAAAATCAGTACTTGCGCTTCGATATTGAAAGAGTTGGGGGCCGGGGGTGAACACATACCCGTAGTGTGGCGGAAGACCCGGAGCAGTTGAAGTTGGGTAGGACGAATAGTCGGCGAGGTAGCTTTGAGAGTTGTATGAGTTTGTGAACATGGCGGCTTGGTTTTGGTCCTGCAATGGTGGCGAGAATGGAGGCATGTATTGCGGGACTGAAGGTTCGGCGAGTAGGGGAAGCTGAGATGGCGCGGTTGTGTATACGGGCATGCTGGATGCAGCGGAGGTCATATCGGCGAGGGAAACGGGTGGCGAGTAAACAGAAGATGCGCTGTCCGTCCTCCGGCCGCGAGCCTGCATTTTGGAGTTGTGCCGTGCCTGATCGCGCTGCCTCTTCAGTTCCCGCTGCTCCGCCGTGAGCGCTGTCCTGGGCGGGCTCGCTGTAACCGATCGTGACCCGCTGGGTGGTGTGAGGCTGACATCCGAACCATATGCGCCGAGATCGTGGGGAGGCATAAGACCACTGCTGGACTCCATCACTGTTTCGAGTAAGCACTGGACTTGTATCGCGATGGGAAGGTGACGTGGGTGTGATGGCGTACCTGGCCAGGTGAATGACGATCTAGCGGCCATGTTGAACGTCGGGTCGTACGAAACGGCAACGGCACTATTCTCAGGTAAGTAGCTGTTAGGGAGTAGGCCGAGGCCGACGGGGGGTTGCGGCTCGAGAGGTGATGTTGTTGTTGGAGTTAGTTACCTCATAGCTCCTGTTTCAACTGACGAGAGCGGGGGTGATGATGTTAAAACGCCGGGATGGTCGTGCACAGGTTGAAGCCTTAGTAGTGGCGCGCCGTGGGTGTGGGTATGTTCCGTGTCGAACCACTCTGCGTCCGAGATGGTGGTTTCGGATGACAAAGGTGGGAAGGATGAATGTGGTTGACCAAGAGGGGTGGTCAGGTAGCCGGGCGAGTGGGATAGGCTCGGACTTAAGTATGTGGGTGAGGCTAACCCCTGCGAAGACGGGGGTCTGCTGGTGGTATAGGACTCTGTCTCGAAGGAACCGGTCTCGGCAAGATGCAAGTTCTGGAGCAACCCTTCTGTGGTAGAGATTCGATTACCAGCTCTTGATCTGGGCGTTTGTGAGTATGTGTCCTCGAATTGTTGGCTTGATGAGTGTGTTGGGTCCATTGTCTGCTTCAATGTACTTGAAAGAGGGAGAGGTCGACGAGGAGAGACGAGGAGATAAGAAAGAAAGACTTGAACTTGAAAACAGGTTACATACGCTGCTGACTGTCCTGGCGATGTCGATAATGGGGATCCGTTCGTGAAGGCGTGTGATGGGTTATATGAAGTCGAGACGAATGTAGATGCTTCGTTTCGAGGCTGCGTACCAGGTTGCAAGATTTAAACAACGCCGTAGATCTATCTTTGGGGGTTTTAGAATCTCTTGAATGCACCTCAGCCTCGGTGGTCGTGGAGAAGGGGGTACGGACGAGCTTAGCTTATAACTTCAGAGAGGCGGTACCTCCCCACAAGCCATGGTGGTGCATGCGAGGGAGGGGGCCCGGTCAGGGCCGTTAGCCGGGGGTGAATTAGAGTGTGTTCGGTGGGCAAGGGACATGCATGTCAGTCGACGACCAGGGAGAATTCATGGATGCCCATGACAGGGGATACAAGCAGTACATCCAGACCAGGGTATGTCCACAGGGGGTGGGGACCTCTTTCCAGGGGTGTAGTGGGGGAGGGTGTGCCACCTAGCAAAACGCACGCCCCTCTCCCACATTCCTCTCCTACCCTACCCCATGCGATGGATGGTTTGGACACTGTCAAACGGCTTGGAGGAGGGTAATCTAGGCGAATGCATGCAAGTCCCATCCTGCAAACTGGTAAAAGTTGTTTGCAGTGCATTTGTGTTATGAACCGACAAGAGCAAGTGTAATGTACCTACACGTCAAGTGTAGTTGATTGAGGAGAAACTTTGAAAAAAGGCGTATTAGGGATCTGGAACTCGATCTCGGGAGTCTTCTGAGGTCAGGCCATCCGTGTCCGTACCTACCCCCTTGGGGTGTGTACTTTTCTCAGTCGCCCTTTTTGGTTAACCCAGCACAGCGCCGGTTGATTGGATGTTCCCCAGGGCAGGAGGAACACATGAGAGAGGTCGGCGGAGCGGCGGGGGGGCGAAACGACCGTGGCTGCTCTTAGGCTCCAGCTTTTCTCACACTCGCCTGTGGACAGCTGTGCCGCTCGCCGTGCTTGGAACAAGTGAACCCAAAATGTGCCGTGGGCCAAGCAGGGCCGCCCGGCAAGGAGCGAGTGGGTGCAGTGGGTGCCAACTCCAGGGCCCATCGCCCCAGTCCACTGTTGCACGTTGCCCACACATGGCGCGGCTCACGCCGTTCTTCCGAAGCCAGCCGGGGGAACCACCGACCTAGAAAGAGCGTTTTGTTAGGTCGTCCCCAAACAGACGCGCAAAGGTCACCTGTCAGCAGCGTCGGCAAACCCCCTCGCGGCTGTTTGTTCGTCTGGCGCGGCTCGCGTCTGTCCACATTGTTGCTTCTTCCTCTTCTTCTCCTCATCGCAACCCTCCCGCTCTCGGCGGTGTGCTACCTCGACCTGCAGGACTTCCATGAACAGGGATGAACAAGAACTCACACACACCGGTGGATGAAGATGCGAACCCGAAGAGGGGACAGTCATATAACGGGGCAGGATCAAGCGACAGCAGGGGGCGGCAGTCGAGCAAGTTGGGAACGCGTTGGGAAGGTTGGGCAGTTCGAGAACATTGTTCCCCCAGTAGCCCGTCGCGCCAACCAAACCTGCCGCACGTGATAAAAGCGAGGGGTGGGAAAAGGAGAAAAACGCCCAACGATCATCACCAAGATGGTAAACTTAACGAAGTTGTGGAGGTTAGTTTTGCGGCTTACGCAGTAGAACGCCGAATCTCTCCGTATGATATCCTGTTGCCTCATCAAGGGCGGTTCGCTCGAGCTGAGTGCTTTTCTCCCAATGAGGGAAAACAACGTGCTCTGCGGTAGTGGGTAAGAAGGTGGGTGCTGAGCGGCCAGAGCGGGGGGCAAACAATTGGAGGTGAAGAGATGAAGCTGCGAGATTGACGCGGTGCAAAGGATTCAAAACCCTGTCGTCGGGGTCGGGTTGCGCTTGCCCGCCGTGCCGCCGTGCCCGCTTAATTGCATGAACTGATTAAGTGAAATCTCCTGGCCTTTGCAGACTGACTAAAATTCTGACAAAGCATCGGCTGGGGCACGGGCCAATGACGGCAACGGAAAGGCCACCAACACCTTTGCAGTGGGAAAGTGGGTGAGGCGGCAGGGGCAGCCAAGGGCACCCTCACCACCCCTTCCTTGCAAATGAGAACCCGCGCTTGCTTCCCTTTACAGATGCACAAGCAGGTAGGCGCAGCTAGGCCACCACATTTCGCAAGGCTTTTTGAGGGGTAATTTGGCGCGCTGCATGATGGAGACGCCCAAGCGACATTCACGGCACCAACAAACACGAGCACTTCACCACAAACGCCCGGCACTGGTGTCGCTCGGCGCTGATACGCGCGACGGGCGCCGATGGCCGACCTAATCGGGGATGGGAACGCCAAGAATCCCGACCCGCCGTGTCGCTCGGCCCTTAGATGTTTCCACATTCCCCCGTCAGCGTCGCGTTTCTTCGACTACTTGTTCTGGAAGCCAGCCAGGCCTGCCAGGGTCCGGCGCAGCGTGTGCCAGAGTCTGTCTCTTGGCGGCGCGCTCACCTCCTCAAACCTCCACGTCTCCTCCACCGCTCGTCTCGGACTGTTGCGGTTCGCCCAGGTTTACAAATTTAACTACAAAACCTGTGCCATTCACCAGTTCAAAAAAGAAGGTTGCTCCGGCTGACATCTGGAGAACAGAATGCCCCCACAGCGGGTTGTAAGAACAACTTCCCAGAACCTCGGTGGGTATTGCCCCCGGAGCTGGATCCGGTGACTTGACGGCAGTTCTCATAGGCCCCCGAAGAGGTCCCAGGTCCTGCGTATCCATCTTCGCGCTTTAGTTATCCCCGCAGTGGAAATAGGGAGAGAGAAAAGCTCGACGACAAAGCACCACCCTACACGAGACCTGCCTAATGTGGTTGAGTCTTCGGGCACAATGGACAATTGTTCATCAACCGGGCGGTCCTGACAATCACTGGGACTTGTGGCCCTTTTTGAGCCATCCCCCGCTTGAACGGAAGAAGAGGGCCAATAAGAACACGAGCTCCTGCTGACATTGCCTGCCGGAAACGCCGGCGCTTGTCGTGGCCGTTTATTGCTCCTCCCGGACCGGGTTGTGCGCAACAACTGGGGTTTCCCCAGCCTGGGCACGTGAATGTCGAAGGGCAGAACCAGTGCAGATGTCTTCGCGTTTTCGGCAGACACCAGGTGAGAGACGGCGCGTGCATGAACGAAGGCCTTGACGCCGAATTGCGGCTCCTGTCCGTCTTAAATGAATGCTATAGCTCGGTCACTGCACAATAAGTAGCTCACCCACAGGGCAGAGCCGGGCACCGGAGACGGGAGCGTAGGCGAAGACGGTGCCGGTCGGGTCCGAATCGGCTGGCTATGTTGTGCCGATCTCCGGGCTGTCCACTGCTTCCCTGATTGAAATACCACAAGGTCCGCTAACTAACCACAGAAGAAGTCAAGCCCGCAATGATGTCTCAAGTCCAGTGTGACGCTATGAGCTGCTGAAAAATTGCACTCATGGGCAGGGTTCGCCAAGCCTCCCTTTTCATTTCCTTCGAACAGACGATCTCGGTATATGCATATCTGCAAACCCCGTTCCTAACCCAATTGTTGGCCGTGCTTCCACCCGACACCTGCAGTCCACTAACTACACAGTATGAATAACGTTATATCGACAGGTTACAGCCCCGCCGCTCCTTGAGCCCGCCGACCATTGCCGTGGGACTCCCACGTTGCACTACGGCCCCCCGACCGTATTCCCGGATACAGGCCGTCTAGCCTTTTTAGCTTTTTCTCGGAAATCGCGTAGCCCTACCTCCCGCCGGACAAAGGAAGACATTTCTTGACAAAAAGCAGTTTTAAACCCCACAAACGCATATCCCAGCGGTGTCGGTTGGAGGAAGCCAAATCATATCCACAGTGCCGGGGGAACCCCGTCTCGATCTGATATGGGCCTCCCCCATCGTCACCCGCCAAGGGATGGCTTGAAGACAGGGTTCGAATACGGAATGCCACAGCCGCATGGGATACCAATATGGAACAGATTCGGCGCACGAGATTTGAATCGCCCCAGGAATATAGTGGGGCCCCTAGCTGCCCAAAGCAAGCCTCAGCCCAGCTCGAGCGAGGGACGCCACAACCCCCGTCGCGGTTGAGAGGCCTGTTTATTCTGCTGCCTGGCGGCAATCTCCCCAGATCGGAGCAGATCTGAGGAGTCGGACTCGCCAACGGCGCGGGATCCCAAGTGAGAACCCAAAACTTGGGACCAAGGCGGCACAGTGCCGCATTTCTTTGTCTCAGAAACCGGCCCTACGCCGTGGATTCGATGGCTGTGCTGGACGACAACATGAACACCGGCGCCGAATCTTTGCGGGGACCCGGGTTTCCGGCATCACGAGTATGATAGCTACCGGCAGCACAGCACAGCGACGCCCCCCACTCCCTTTGCAATTGATTCGTGGACCCTATCTTCGTGTTTTTCTCTCTTCATTTTTCTCACTCCCATCTTACGAGTTTTTCCCTTTCTCCCCTGTCTTGTCCTGCATGGCGTCTGCAAAGATAATCAAGATGGCACGCTAAGGTCTGATGCACCATGAGGTGGCTCCATTCCGGCGGCTACCAGTCCAATAGCAAGCGCACCGGGCCAGCATCAATTTCGCTGAGCGTTGGTTCACCCACCACTTCGACCTCAGACACGCATGTTGATGCATGGCGCTAGTCTCGAGAGCACCAAGCGCAGCAAGCGCGCGTGTCACGGTACTTCAGAAAGGAAGGACTGTCCACCATTCCACATTGGGGGACGGCACATTACTAGGCGGTGAGAGAATGACTAGGGGTCGTCACCACGCCATCATCACTCATCCGCGTGAAGCCGTGATTCCTGTAGAAATACTACCCAGTGAGCGCTCATCGAGCGGTGCAAGACAAGTGTCTCCCGGGCCGAGGAGCCTTCGGGCTCACTCATTCGGTTTTC